TCTCGAAACTCTTCTGCGATAACAAAATCTGATCGTAGAGACCAACTGGGCAACCGAGCGGGTTGTCCAGGCCGTATAGCGGGGATGTGGATGAGGTTGAGGGGATAGTCACGCAGGAAGACACGAGCTTCGCCCATGTCGAGACTGAGGCTGATGGGGATGAGGAGTCCGTACTGCATGTCGTAAGGCATGCCTTTCCCGATCTCGTGGATGAACTTGGGCAGTTCGGCTTCGGGAAATGACGGTTTGTCAATGATGAGATGTAGGTCGCTGATTATGAGAGTCATCAACCCAGGACGATTCGGAATGCCCAGAATCGTCTCCGTCTCCTGCTCATCGTGTGGCGGTTCATCTGCACCGCTGAACATCTGCCGGACGCTCTTGACAGCGTTGTTCTGCAGCCGCAACATAAAGTCGATCCGCCGTTTCCAGCTGCGAGAGTTATGCTCCTGGAGCCTCTCCCATGCTTCGTTTGCCTCTATCTTCGCGTCGCCCGTCAACGCGCACACACCCTCACGATCGTACCGGATCCGGCGCGACCCTCTGCCGCGTCTTCCCCTGGAAGTGGACCGCTTCCTCGGCGTGGTGTCGGCACTGCGTGACCGCCGAGGCTGGGGGGTAGGAGAGGCATTGGGTGATCCTGCCCGGCTGGAATGCGCCGAGTGGGCTCGCAAGCGAGAAGGTGACCTGGGCCGTCTCTCTTCGTTCATTCGTTTCACCTTCAGCCGATAAGCATCCGCCCGGGCAAGTCGTTGTTTCTGCTCAACCAGGCCGACGTGGTAGATTACGCCCAATTTCCATTCAAACGGGTCATCTTCAAGTTCGATACACAAAGCTTTGGTCCGAATTGATATCCGAGGAACCTTCTTGGCAGACTCAGGATGTTTGGCTAGTACGTACTCGTTCGACCGCGTCTTGAACCGGTGATGCAGCTGCTTCATCGCCTTGGCCGTGTTTATGAAGTTGTCAAAAACCTTGTACATCTCGAGCCCATGTGGGACTCCGAGGCGGATGAAATCGGTGCCAACGTCAATGGTCTTCTCTTCAACCACACCATGCTGGGTCTTCTTCTTCGTGTGGCGCAGATCTACCCTGAGGCCACTGATGCTCACAACTCGCGCCCAGACTCGCTTGAGACGCGGCGCCTCTGCATGTAGGCGAGCTAGGTCAGCTCGGAGGAAAGGAGGCGACCATCTGTGTCGGCCACCAGTGAGCTGGTAGATCTGAAGCATTACCGGTGGATCATGGGGCAAATGAGCCTTGACTTGGACATAGTGTGCTTTGATATCAATTGCAAACAGCTCTGCGCCCAGCGCCACCGGGACATGCTCCAACCCGCTCTCCTTATGAGCTAGGCTGGTATGGTGCGCTGCTTCGCGGTGGAGCTGTACCGGTCCCAGGAAGGCTTCTTTCACGACAAAGCCTCCGACGCCGATCGAGTAGTATTTGTAGAGAGAGAAATCGAGATAGAAGGCGCGGATGGCGGAGTGGATATGGAAGAGCGGCCCTTGTTGGTCTCTGGACGTGCTGAAAGCAACTTCCAGTCTCGGCACAGAGAGGAAGGGGGCCGGCTCCCACGAGTCGGCAGACTCGATGATGAAGCCTTCAAAGCCCTTGATGTGGCATGCGAGCCGTCTCCCATCCGTGGGATCACTGTGACGATGCCTCGAATGTGCAGGCGGAGGTGAGACAGTTTTCGTGGGCGAGAAGTGCTCGTCGTAGCGGACTGAGGTACTAACTTTCCGTCCTTTTGGCTTCCGGCTGAACTCCGACTTTGCTGATGTATACTGGGCTGACCATGATTCAAGCTCCAAGGCAACTCCTCGCGTTTGAGCAGAGACGCTCTCATCGATACCAGCTGCTTCAAAACTGCAGCCGGAGCCTTCAAAGCTTGCCTCGATCAGCCAAGCAGGCAGCTTTCGCAAGAAGGCGACTCGTGGAGGCTTTTGGACAACAACTTTATCTGCCGGAGAGTGATGTCGAAAGTGCTTGACTATATTGTAGAGTGCTTTGCTGACTTCCTCCCGCACCATGAGAACGGAGAAAGTCCGCAGATTGCCTTGTAGGACAACGGACACCTCTTTGGAAGCGGTTAGTTGGACTTTTAGTTCCAGAGCTTCGGTGATGATCAGGTTGTGTTTTGTACCCGTCGAAGCCTGGTAGTATAACCTGTGGGACATAACGCGGAAGCTTGAGTCAAGAGAATAAAGGAGCTCGCCTCCTGCTGAATGCGACGACTCGAGGTCCAGAGAGATGGAGGATATGGAAGATATGATCATGTCATACTCGCCAGGAGCGGCATGGGCAGGATTTGCGACCGGCAACACGAATCTGAGCACTGGCTCATGGACTGAGAACTTGATGCTCGCCTTCGGAAGTAACCTGGAAATCAGACGATGCCGATTGTGAGGGCTTTCGTGGGAGCGGGCTTCGTGACTGTGGGCGACGGCGAGCAGTTTCATCAGATGCTGAGGTGCCAGATCGAGAGACGGCGATGTGACGACTAGGTTAGCAAACAGGATGTTGGTGTTCCGTTCGGCAACGTCGCGATCTTGGGTGAAGCTCATCGTCTTTGCGGGCAAGGTAGTCCTGATGGTGGTGGTTGCCATCGGGATGTACATGATCCTGTTCGGACGCGAATCATCTTCATCAAGGCTGACCGAGATAGACAGAGCAGCAAGAAGGGCCTGGTGGGCGATGTCTTCGCGCTGAAAATACATTCGGTGAACCGGGGAATTCTGCTCGAGTCGATGCAGGTCGACGCCAATCTCGTGTATGACAACGTTGGCTAACAGAGGAAGATTGGCTTGCCTGAGCGATTCAATCTCTTTCGAGATTCGCACGAAGCTCATCCCGACCTGGACCTCTTGCACGCTCTGAAGTGTTGACCGGAGGAACTCTTTCGACTCGGCTACCGTCTGGACAATGGCTGCCTCGCGACTGCCAGGACTGTCCAGTTCTCCCGCCACATCCTCAAAGGAAATCTCGTCGACAGGGCTCAGTACGTCGGGTGGCTCGGGGCCCTTTGCCAACCTTTTCCCCTTGCGCGAGAAGTGGATTAGTTCATCCACTGGCACGTAGAGACGGCCACCCTTGATCGCAATTGATGTGTCTCGGAGTCCTTCCCGATCTCTGTACAATAGCCCATGGACGTTGATTGTCATGGCATCAAGAACTTCAATCGGATCTCGACCGCCGACACCCAGAAGTATGCTCTTGACCGTGAAGACCCATTCCGCTGGCCTTTGACCTCCAAGCGGATCCTTCTTGTGGCGAAAGAGCCGCCCCCGATCCAAAAGCTTCCGCCGCGTGTAGACAGCTGCTGTGAAGGATGAGATCTGCACATATCCGACTCCGACAATCTCCGCTGAAGTGTTCAATGCGATGATGTCGAACATACGCAGGAGGTGAATCTTACGGTGCAGGCGCTTGATGCTCTCTTTGGTCTTGGTCAACCTCTTCCATACCTGACTTTGGTCGTGAGAACGGCTTCTGCGGTGTCCATGTGTGTCGCCCTTGCCATCCTGCTTTTCCTGGCGGACCGGTGGCGCATCGGCACTGTGCTCCAATGCGGCGGGATCGAGGGTCACCTTGAGTTCTTCGAACACCACGCTGATCCATGTCGGTTGAGCAAATGTCGGACGGTGGACACTGAGGCCGAGTCCGCGCAGGTCGATTCGCAAGCCTTCTCGGGGAGTGTAGGAGATGTGCCTCAGACTGGAAAGACCAATGCGCTGAATGGAAATGCCGGTCGCAACTCGCAGGATTGCCAAGAGGATGAAGGAGGACAGGTAGAGGAGGACCAGAACGGCAGCGACTGAGGTCGCGTTGACGAGAGGCATCTTGGTCCTCCAGCACCAAGCCGCAGTGTCCCAGCACCGCCTGAAGAGAGACAGGTGAATTCAGGCGTGCGATCGTTCATGTCATCTGCTTCGGCAGCCCAGGCGCTCAATGTAGAGACGGCACTCTGTTCGAGGCCACATAGTCGACGGAGCCTTCACAATAACTCTTCGCATAACAGGTGTGAGGAGATATGCACGAGCCGATGGACGGGGACCAGATTTTCGACCGAGTTCGAGTCTGTGTCGACATGCGGGGATCGTGAACGATGTCGTGCTCGCCGTTGACGCGTCGAGACCGTCGGCGTGAAGGGTGGTGTCGGAAAAGGAGCGGGCGCCAAAATGAGGTCGTGCGACAGTGGTGAAAGCAGATGCCGGCGTGGCCGGTCAATATCAATAATCATGAGGGAGCATCAAGCGATGCGGTTGCAGATGCGGGCGCAAGATACACGGATACGCAGATACGACGAGATCGAGAGCGGCGCATGCAGCCCAAAGCAGCCATCCACTGATGACTCAGCTGGTGCAGACGATGAGCAAGACGGGCAACGTGATGAGCACGATCCGCATGTGGATGATCAAGCTCAAATGCTTACTGAAGCATGTCCTCTATTTCCCACCTGAAAGCGGCATGCCCGTTCTGCCACAGTACATAGTCCATGACGGCCGAAGCTGCAGCTACCTAGGTATGTAACCAGTGACGATCCAATGATGTCGAGGTCGTTCTCTTCCAGCATCCCCGTTCTGCTACGCACCGTTGGTAACATCCAGTATCCCACTCTTCTATCATCTCGATCGGCGCCCGTCCCAGATCGTAGCTGGCAATTACAATGTTGGCTGCCCGATCAACACTTGACCGGCTGCATACACGTCTCTACTTGTATCCCGCAGCTCTTCCGCACTTGGCGTCATACACTCTGAATATTCGTGAGTAAAACGCCTTGCATCCACCCACTAAGGGGCCGGTTGGGAGTCCCTTGTGGCCATGGACACCATCATTGGCCCGTGGACACGCCGTCCACCAGGACCTGCTGGTTGTGACACGGCTGCTCTGACCTGATTGTTGGCTCCAAACTGGCTTCCCGTCCGCCCTCTGCTGCCGGTTGTAGCTTCGTAGAAAATCGTTCGGAAGGTATAACCAGTCCGACCTTAGTTCAGATCTCAGCTCGGACCGTCTCTGAGTGGGCCTTGCTGGTTCGGCGAGTGCTGCAACTTTGCTGCTCGAAGTTCGGCTATTTGATCGTCCAGAATGGCAATTTCCACGTCGACTTTCAGCAGCTTGTCAAGGAGCAATTCCTCATACTCTTGATCGGAAAGGGACTTCATTGGACTCAATGCAGCCATCTTCTTTCTGAAGCCGGAAGCCACCCCGGAAAAGGGCACGGAGCCTTGCATGGCATTGAGCCCGGTTTGAGACACGGCAGCAATGACACCGAGCATGATGCTCCCTGTCACCACACTTCCTCGAGGCACTGGACGTCGTCAGAAAGGATCCGCGTTGGTAATGTATCACTTACGGAAGGTCGCAGCTACGGCTCCGGAACATGATCCTGCAATACCACTGGCGGCCACCTTGTGCAGGCTTTTATCCTTCGAAAATGGGCCCGAGAGCAAGAGACTTCGGCAGTCTGGAAAATGTCAGTCAGGACACATGGCTCGACGAACAGGTTCACAGACAGAAGAAGGTAGTCCCTGCAGTGAACCATTGGGTAGCTGCTAAAGAAGTGTATGCCAACGGACTCGAAGTCTGGATGAGGGTTCCGGCGATGCTCCCATATGCTGCACCACAAGCTCCTTTTCGCCATAGTCAGTGGACGGTTGATGCCCTTTCCGTGTGCGCAGCAGGTTGCGTACCAGCGGCGGCTCCCACATAGAGTGAAGGCACAAACGGCTTCCAGAAGATGTCTTCTCTCGCTCCAGCATGAGGAACATTCTGCGTCTCGGGCATGGTGACATGTCTTGACTGTAGATGCTGGGGGACGCATAATTCGGTGGATGGGTATTTGCGGAACGAGGACCCGCCAAGACCCCGGTTCTTTCCTCGAAACGCTAAACCCAAACGGACCAAGATGGGGCTCCTGCCGCCTTTTGGCTACAGATTCTCTTTCTTCAGACAGACATTTCGTACACACCCACTGCGCCGCCATCCGCACGGCCGCTGTTAACTATCTATCATACCCACTGAAATCTACTGCAGTCCGGCTGGAGTGCATCCGAAGACGTCCCTCTTCTCAACATATCCGCTACCTCGTCCCATCAGCACGGGTCGCACGATCTCAGTGCGACTGCTGAGACCCAACCGCAATCATGCGTATGACCACATGTTGCCCCACGGCGCCAGCTCTGGCGAGTCGAGAATCATGCGCTGACCGCTTGTAGCTCCCAAAAAGAACCAGAAGATGTCCCTCGGGACCTTCTTGCAAGATGAGAGTGCGTCATCCGGACTTTGGACCTTGGTGGAGTTGGTTCACTGACTTTTGGTGCCAGACTATGGCTCCTGGGCCGACGAGATGGAGGACATGCCTCTTCCCAGTAAGGACTTTTTCAGAGCCTGACGTGGCTATACTCTTGCGATGAGCTGTTGTTGACGATTTGGTGAAACAGCAGCGTCCGACGCGCGCCCGAGCTATGGATCAGATCGACGAGCCTTCAGCACGGCTACTGGAATGGGAAATGGCTATCAGTCGGGTCAGTATTCCTGTCATATAATGATTCCGATCATGAGGCTGACCTTGAGTCGGTAGTCGAACGCCGAGACACCTATTCCATGCGCGAACAACTCCCTCTTCCCACCCAACCTCCCTACACGGCTCATCTCGCCAACCTATCGTTTGATGCCACACAAGGCGATGTAAATGATTTCTTCAAAGATTGCGAGGTGACCAATGTCCGCATTGTGGAAGACAAGCTGGATCGCAAGCCCAAGGGTTTCGGTTATGTGGAATTCGCGACAGTGGACGGGCTCAAGGCTGCACTGGCTCTTAGCGGCAACAACTTGGCAGGCCGGCAGGTTCGCATCAGTGTTGCTGAACCACGTGAGTTGCTTTGAGGCTAGCATTGGAAATTAGTCTGACTTCGGTGTAGCGAAAGAGCGACAAGACACTCGGGACTTCAGCGACTGGTCGAGGAAAGGCCCCCTTCCAGATCTGCCGAACCAGCGACGAGTCTCCGACAGGCCCGGGGGCTACGGCGGACGGAGCTTTACAAACGACAACGCGTCTGATGCTGGAAGTGAACGGGGCAACCGACGAGGGTTTGGAGGCGATGACGGTAAGGTTCGAGACTTCGGCAACTGGGAGAGAAAAGGACCATTGTCTCCTGTCACTCCTGGCCCAACCTCCCTCCGCGAAGGTGGCCGCCAGGGGAGCAAGGAAGGCTACAATTTCCGCAAGAACTCGCCCTCTTGGGGAGAAGGGAGGTCCCAGGACGGATCTCGACCTCCACGCCGCGAATTCACCGAACGTCCACCGCCTGAACGGCAGCCTACCGCATCGGAGCTCGACAGCCAGTGGCGGTCTCGAATGAGGCCAGACGCTCCCAAAGTGCCCACTCCCGAAGCGAGCGAGCCGTCATCTCCTGCCCCTCCTGCCGCTCCCGCTACACGGCCGAAACTCAATCTGCAGAAGAGGACTGTCTCGGAAGCCGATCCCACTGCTTCCCCCGGCCCCGCTTCAGACTCAAAGGCAAGCCCATTCGGTGCAGCTCGTCCGGTCGACACCGCAGCCAAGGAAAAGGAAGTCGAAGAGAAGCGACAGCTTGCTATTCGACAGAGAAAGGAAGCTGAAGACAAGGCCAGAGCTGAAAAGGCCGAGGAGAAGCGGCTGGCAAAGGAGAAGGCCGGCTCGGAGAAGGAGAAACCCAAGGATGTTCCAACCAAAGAAAGCAAAGAGCCCAATGAAAGAAAAGAACCAGATGCAGAAGACGAGGGCAGTGAAGAAGCTGCACAACCCACACCCAAGTTTGACATATTGCGACGAGCTGATTCCGGAAATAATGATATGGTTGCTGATGAGGACAACGAGGACAATGAAGAGCAGGTACAACCAACTGACGACAAAGCAGTGAAGCCCAAGGAGATTGTACGAACCCCGACCGCTGGCAAGGCCAACGGGTCCTGGAGGAATGGCGCGGCGACCCAGTCCCCTGCCAAGAGCACCGCGGCCGAGATCGAAGAGGATGGCTGGAGTACCGTCTCGAAGCCAAAGAAGCAGAGCAACCGCCGATACGGCCCGGCCAGGGCAGCTGCCTCCTGAAAGCCCGGCATCATCCTATCCGGTTTCTACCTGGTCGCTCTCGGCATTTGCCGTGTCAGAGCCTGCATCGCGACTGCCTTGTACACCACCCTGTTCTCTTGCGATATCTGGTCGATCTCCTGCTTCCGCAAGTACAGCTGGACGGAAGGCAGATCTTAGCAATTTGGTTATTCTCAATGTTTATTGCTTTTCGAGCATTGAGGAGTCGGCCGGCGGAAAAGCGTGGCTTCGGAGATAACAAGCGCCGTTGCAGAGACGGGCATCTGAGGCATGACGGGGTCGGAAAATTGAAGAGACAGGCTCTCGACTTGTACCTACTCGTGTCCATTCGAGGCTGGGCCGATGGGGCCGGCATATCACCACGCTTCTTAGAAGGCTCAATCATAGAACAAAAACTTCACTTTGACAATTCGCGTTGCCGACCATAGTCTGCTGACTGGCTCACACCGGCTGGAGGTTAGAATCGCTCGAGCGACAGTAAGGAAGCGTCAATGAACCCATCCACGATCCGACTCCTGCACTGCTCTGGTCAAACTTCCAACCAATCAGAAGTGAATTGCAAGTGAACAGCCGCCAAGGCCACAGCGCCAGTCTCTGTGACTCTTAGTATCAAAAAGTCCTCAACCAGACTCGAACTGGAGCTCAGGCTGATCCCATCGCAGTCACTGCTTATCGCTACGATCGGAAATGGCGCAGAAGCGATGGCGAAGAACCTCGACACCCTGATCGAATTCCTGGTTGGCGAGATCGCAGCGCAATTCCAAGGTACGAACATCACTCAGATTTGCGCGTCGATGGCCTCGCCTCGGTAGCACGAGCGCCGTTGCCCCACCGCTATGCATCTCTTCCGTGACGAGTACAACAGAGCTAATTCTATTCCATCCTGGTAGGATTGACGATCAATGAAATTGCGACGTCGATTTCTACTTTCTATGCGGATCCTGCGGACGAGCTGGGATCGGACTCGGCTTCGGGGTCAACAAGCACAAACCGACAGGTCACCGTCGACCGAGCACTCCTTTCAAAGGTCTGGTTATGGCTAGGTCGACACCCCGACGTGTTGATCGGGGACAATGGGCGCTACAACAAGACTCCGTTGGCTCAGGTCGAGTCAGAGTTTCCAGGATACGTCGACTACAGTCGTATAGGCAGCAAGCCTCCGGCTGGGGGTGAGCCCAGTCCAGGTGATTCACGCCATGTCAGCGCTGCAATTGAGGAGCAACCGAAGACCCGGAGAACGCAGCCTACTGAAGGTCCACGAGTCCGTCTCAAGGAAGAACGACTCTACCAGGCAATATGTGGACATGCTCCAGATCCCAGAAGGGTTCCGCCTCTGGAGTTCGAGCTGCTGACATACATCACGGCGACAAGATCCGACGGGATCCTTCAGGGAGAACTTATCAGATTATCTGGACAGGACAAGCGCTCTGTACCGAAGCGAACTGATGCGTTGCACAGCAAGGGCTACATAGTCAAGGAAGCCGTCTTCTACAGAGGCAACCGGACCAGTCGTTTGACGTTGAAGAAGTTTGCGAAATCCCCTGCAGTGGACGCCGACTTATCCCAACGCCAGGGAACCAAGTTGCGACACGTCGTCCGGAGAATCTTTGACATCCTGACAAGCCACACTCTTCTGCCTCAAAGCAGGCTGGCAGAGGAATTGAATCTCCAGTCCTCGGCCAAGTCGGCCGTGCTTCAGAAAATCATTCGACGGCTCGAAAAGCTCAAATTGGTCAAGCGGGTGCGAACAGCAGTCGGCCCGTCTGCGACCTCTGGTGACTTGCAGCATTTTGTGCAGCTTCTGCGCCATGCCGGGCCGGAAGATGTTGAGAATTTCGACACCGAGCATTTGTCATTGGACCAGACGCTCGAAGAATTGGCTACTGGAGCAGACCTAGAATGTCTTCCTTACACCAACCTTGCAGAATCTCCGGCAGCTGCTGAGGGTGAAGAGTCCTTGCAACCGCCGCCTAAATCTGCAGCATGGAACCCGGACCGCTTGATGTCTAACATACTGGTGGAAGCAGTTCAATCCGCTGGTAGACATGGTCTCTCTAATTACGTATGTAATTGATCAGTCTGCTTTCCATGATGCTGACCAGAACAACAGGATGCGCGGCGTATGATCACAGGCGATTTTGTGCGCCGTCAGCTGGAAGCCCTCCTCCACCGTGTCTCGTGCGAGTCATTAGTTGTCCAACCGCCACATCTTCGGCACCTTGCTATTATACGTCACGCTGTAACAGAGGACGGTATTACAAGATGGGTACACTACTCATGGAACGAGTTCAAGCAGCATGCCGCAGAGACAGGCATTAACATAACGGCAATTCCAGGTGCTAAGCAGGCACTCAAATCTTCGAGGCAAGACGAGTCCAACACCCAGGAGGATGGTGCGGTTGAACAATCCTCCGGCGTCGACGAGTTTGGCTTTCCTGTGCAGAACTTGTTGCCGCTCCAGGTCAAGGGAGGCGAGACGACCTTCTCGAGCCTTGTCCGAGCGGCTGCGGCAGGAGACGTCGCACCACGAAGAGGAGAGTTAGTCATCGCTAAGAGGGGAACACAACTTGCCCTAGACATGCGCGATGAGCTGCCGGCCTTGCCTCACACCTCGGATCGACCATCTCATCGAAAAGCAAGATCTCAAGCGCCCTCAAATCGGAAGACAGTTACCAATGAGAATGTTGAAACCCCTCTCGGCCGTCCTCGCAAGTACATGCGAGGTACAGAAAAATTCTGGCGTCTGCAATTCAAGCAGGCTAGACTCGGTGCCGGCCACGGCAGGGGCACTGTAAAGAGGGGAAATATGAGAGATCCAGTTGCCAAAGCGTTGTACGCCGCTCGTCCTGCGGACTTCGATCAGACATTGGTGAAAGCTCTGGACGCCAAATTGCCGGTCCCTCTCAGTGCAGATGAGATAGGCGAGGATTGGATCACTTCGACAAGAGCCATCCTCGATCGCTCGTCGGAAGGCGTCTATATGTCTCCGACCGGCTTGCGTTGGGACAATTTTGGAAAACTTTCTCGTGTTATGATTGTCAAAACACCACGCCTGGCCTCGCTTGATCTTTTTGACAGAAACGAGGTTCATCCGTGGCAACACTGGCCATCCAGCGCATCACACAGCTTCGCGTACCGGCGATACTACCCGAGACTAGCAGTCCAGGCACGTCGTCCTCCACGCCCACCAATCAACCCGAAGCATGACACGGGGGCGAAGTCTGGCGGAACGCCCAAGCAGAAGACGCCAGGGCCACGCTTGGGTATATTCCATGATAATGCAGCGGAGGCAGCAAGGCTTTCCTGTGTTGTCGAAAACCCTATCCGACCCGATGTCCCAGTCGACTCAACGAAGAACTCAGCGAGTGAACAGCGAGACCTTCTACAGGAGCACCATAATGCTGGAGAAAGAGCTTCCCCGCCTGTCGCTGCGGTTGAGACTATCTCCGGCGAACAGAACCAGAACAGCGCTGGTCACAATGGTAGCATACCCGACAAGAACAGCACTCCGGAATTGCCAACCACGCCGAAAGCCAGAAGTGTTCAGAGATCCCCTGTTAGATCATCCCGAAAGCGTAAGCTAACAGAAAAAGCCAGCCAGACGTTGGAGAGTGGGCAACTTAGGAACATACGCCAGTCCCCTGAGACAAGATCAATGCCCTCCGAAGGCTCTACTATCGAGCAGGTCATGGACGACATGGATGTCCCCGAAAACAGCCTCGTATCTCCGACCGGCATCGTGGCAGCTGCTACTTCACCAATTCCTTCTTTGGAGGCCCCGCTCCCTGACGAACCTGCAGAAGTACAGGTTCACAGTAACGCCTCTGGGACTCGACCTCTCTCGGCGACTCCCACCAACTTATCCACGCCAAGCTCGCGAAAGGACACAGGTGAAAATCCTATAGCTGAGGTATCACAGATACCAACAAAACAAAAACGTAACAGCGGGGCCCTTGGTTTGTGCCGCAAGATCGCACTGGAGCTCGTTAAGATGACGGCTGGAGCTGTACCGAATGATCCTATCACGTTGAGGCGTATCTCAGTCGCCCGATGGCAGGAAGCTGGCGAGGAGGACAGGCCTTTGCTTAAGACCATGAAGGCGGCAATCAAGTCACTCTGTGAGTTGGGCAAATTGAGGTCAGTTACATTCAACTTCCCAGGCAAGTCCACCACGATGGTCAAAGGTTCAGTCATCTTCCTGCCGAGTATCCACCCCGAGTCTCAATTAGTTGAAGATGTCAAGCAGTCAATCAAAGACGCCCATCCTGTTGATTACATCCCACTGGAATGGATTGCAGAGGGAAACCGTCCACCTCTTTTCAATAAGAATGCCCCAAGCAGAGGCCGCGAACTCGACGATGAGGTGCAAGCGCCTGCAGCCAGGAGACTGCGGACACCTTCAATCGACACCGAGGAGAGGCCAGCCAAGCGACAACGACGAGCTTCTTCCGCCGCAACGGATCCAACGCTTGTTGCTTCTGTGTTTGATGCACGCACTATGGATCAATCGAAGCCACCACTTGAACCAACACCAGCGACTGCTGCAACAGGCTTCCTGACACTGAAAGTACCCTCTCTTGGCTCACACCCCGCTTATCAGCTCCATACCTGGCGAACCACATGCCCGGTCATGGCCTTGCTGTCCGATGCCTCGTACAGAAACCCTTGGAGGCCGAAGAGTGTGAAAGTAAAGACACGTCGAAAGAAGACAGGGAACGGAGGATCCCAGTTGCCTAGTAAATACCTTCTCTGGAGGAACTTCCCTTCGTCACTGGATGACATTCTACAGCTTCCCGGTCTGAAACTTGACTTTGGACAATTTGTATCAGAGAGTTTGGGTCGAAATTGGGAACGCTTTGCATGTGAGGTTGAAGGTGTCCGTGCCTGGGAAGAACAGCAACCAGAGTCTGCGACTGCGACGAGATCTCAATACGGCTTCATCAACCACGTCATCCCGGAAGCGTTCTACACTGAAGCAGATATTCCTGCGAAGGTGAACTTCGAAGCCCTTGTCCACTTCGACGAGGGTGGCAGGGAACTGCAAAGTGCACATCCGCCTGCAGTATCATTGCCGCTATTCGTGGATGCCTTGCGTGCTTCGCCTGAAACAGCTTCTCGGATTGCCGGGTTAGATGCTTTGGCCCTGCAAACAATGCCGCCTCCACCGCCTCCGGACGCTACTCAACCGCCTCGTGGTCCCCGACGGACCAGTCGAGTCCCCAAACGAAAGATGACCGAGGACAACGTCTTCTTTGACTCCGAACTGGATGCTGCACTAGAACCCGCAACAACGCGACGCAGGAAAGCGCTGGAGGCTTCGAAGAAGGCATCTGCCGCCAGCGCTCTGAAGCGCAAGACTCTCTCAGGCCTTGCCGCTGCCGCTCGGCGGCTCACTCGAGGCGAGAGATGGACTCAGGACATGTCAGAAGACCGAATCCAGCGGATTACCGTGGCCGTTGTCGTCGTCCGCGCACTCGCCGGCGGAACTGAAGGCACCATCGACTGGTCGATTGTGATGACGCTATTTCCCAAAAGCAAAGAAATTTTCATCAGGTCTAGCTGGGAAACTCTATCAAGCAGGCGCAGTCCATTCATTCAGGCTCTTGCTGAAGAATTCCAATGCAAGTATATCGAAGCCCTAGAGTCGGGCAAGGCTCCGTCCGTCGATCTGGAGCATCTCAATGCCACAGACTGGTCCGCCGTCGTCGAATGGGGCCTCAAGAACCTGGACAACTCTGGCGTGAAGCACATTGCAGAGTTCACGGAACTCGAACTTCCTGAAAAGCGGGACGATTTCTTGAACGATTATGGTCTAATGTTCGATGAACCCATGCAGTACTACAGTTCGGCATCACGCCCCTCAGCCCCAGCTAGAGACGAAATTGGCAGATCCTCAATTTTCGGTGTAGACTACACGTCCTTAACTCGGTCAGCTTTCCTCCACTGTCATCCGCCTTGCGAAACGCAGCTCGGCAACAACGCAGATCTCCACGTCGCCAAAACCTGGGTCCTGTCTGCGGTCCTTTGCCCTTCTTCGACATTCAATCCCTCTCTCGCTCACGCTAAGCTATCAACCCTGTCCTCAACTCCTATGGCCTGTGAACGTCTTCTCGGACAGGCGTTGAGACTTCTCGAAGATGCAAAAATCGTCCAGCGAATACCACAGAGACGTCAAGTCAGCTCCCGTGACCCAAGCGGCATGCGCGCCTGGGAAGCTCATCCTGGATTCCTGAGCCGCTTTGAGGCGCTTGGGCTGGTTTCGCCAGAGATGCTCCATGGGGCAATCGAGTTCAAGCGTGAGATTTTGGACTCTGCGTTTGCAGTGGGGGGCGCGGTCATGCTGGAGAAACATGAAGCGCTCCCGGCCACGGACATGTTCGCGGTGCTGAATCTCCTGGCACAGGGGCAAATAGAAATACGCCCAGGCCCGGACGTGCCCCGTGCCAGGTATGGCATTGATCATGACAAGGTGGGATATCGGACGAGAGATATGGACAAGCAAGCCTTGGGATTTGGAGTTGAACTCCGCCCTACAAAGAAATATGTCCTTGGTGATCCGGTGGTCCGCGGGAGGAGAATACCCATCCCTACAGGTGAGGCTGATGGAGAGAGAAGAGCAATTCCACCTTGGTTGGATATCCACGGCAATGTGAATATGCAGATGTGGGAGATTTTCCTCGCAGGGGTGATGGGCTTGGTAGCCCAAATGCCTGGGATATCAGCAAGGCATGTTTCCAGAGCTTTTGGGAATGCGCCGGAGATGGCGGAAGTGGAGATGATCCTTGGGTGGGCTGAGAGGGGTGGGTTTGTGAAGGTGAATGAGAGGACACGGGGATATCAGACAGCCGAGTGGTGGTGGATGTGCATTGACAAGGCTGCACCGGCGGCGGCGTGAGTGGGTTTAGAGGACTTCTTTTGTACAGCACCATCCATGGGAGGACCACCATCAGGACTCATGGATTCTCGGTCAGGACCACAGAACTGCAGGCAGCAAGCACGGCGCCGGGGGCATTGACGTGATAGCTGGAACCAGCCCAACGACGCCGTAGGCTGCGACGTGTACGCAAGCAACCGCGAATATGTGACAATACTTGACATCAGCACGAGACACTCCATACTGTAACTCGTCTTTGCTGTTGGGACCGGGGCGAGCGCGAAGAGGCAACTCGCGGCTGGCGGATGATATGTTCCTTGCGCCATATTGTACACATCGACGAGGCTCGCGGCTGCATATTCACGGAATGTAAAGTTCATGAACTGGTCATCATCCGGCCATAATCTGTTCCAAGCCACTTTCAATCTCCCTCACTGCGCCAGATACCATCTGTCTTGCACGTACGCATCTGACAGTAGATGTCAATGCCACGCCTGCGGAGGGATTCGCCATGAGCTGCGAGTGCTCTACCCCTCCATCAGAGTGAGCGACTGTCCCCGTCACAGTCACCATCACCATGTCCTATGTCGGCGCCGTCCACCCTCCGAGCGGTGTCCGGCTCGCTATCAAGCTGAACTTTCTCGAACCGGGTGTGGACACTCTCATTGTCGCGTGAGCAACTCCTCAGACTCGGCGCAGCGTCGTTGCAGTACTGACCCGGTCATGTAGGAAAGCGAGCCAACTCCACCTCTACGAGCAAGGACCCGAAGGTCTGACGCTTTTGCACACCAAGACTGTCTATGGCTACATTACTATCCTCGAGAAGATCCGCCCCGCTGCCTCCAAGACCGACCTCCTCTTTGTCGGCACCGACCGTTACCAGTATTTCACATGTTCATGGAATGCAAGCACGGCACAACTGCAGACGGAGCAGAGCTATGTCGATCTCGCAGATAAAGTGCTACGCAGCTCACAGGAGGCGGATAGATGCCACGTCGATCCTACGCGGCGCTTCATGAGCCTCGAATTGTACGATGGAGTGGTGTCGGTCCTGCCCTTCGTTCAGCCCTCGAACAAGCGGGCGAGAAGAGAGAGCAATACCAAGACTCAGGCCGGCGCATTGGGTGAGCCGGTGCAGGTCAGAGTTGAGGAACTGTTGACACGATCGTCAGCTTTCCTGGAGACGAGCCCGGACTCCAAAGACAATCCAAAGCTCGCCATTCTGTGGGAAGACAACCTGGAGAATCCCCAATTGGTGCTGCGGGAACTGAAATATCGAGCCGGCGGAGAGCAGGCTTCTGCAGAACTGGAACGAGTGGCCGAGCTGAAAGGCGATCAGCTCGACAAGGGAGTCAGCCATCTCATTCCAGTCTCGGTACCCTACAGCGGCTTTCTCGTGTTAGGCGACCACGCCATCCGCTATGTTGACCGCGATCTCACCAATGTCATCACTCAGCCTTTGGATGACCAGTCCACCATTTGGACATGCTGGACCAAGATCGACGAGCACCGATGGCTCCTGGCAGACGACTACGGCAAGCTATTCTTCTTGATGATTGAAACCAGCTTTTCCGAGGTTGTATCGTGGAGGCTCGACCCTGTCGGAGTGGCATCCAAAGCGTCGTGCTTGGTCTATCTCGAGGAGGGCTACGTCTTTGTCGGTTCGCATTCAGGCGACTCGCAGGTGGTCCACATCGAAGAGGAAGGTGTCCGCATCGTCCAAACATTCCCCAACATCGCGCCCGTTCTCGACTTCACGATCATGGATCTGGGTCGAGGCGCACAGGGTGGTGCCGCTCCGGAGTTCTCGTCTGGACAAGCCAGAATAGTGGCGGCTTCGGGCGCATGGCAAGACGGCACCATTCGAAGTGTTCGTAGCGGCGTCGGCCTGGAAGAGATTGGCACCATTGGCGAGATAGCCCACATCACCGACCTTTGGGCGGTGAGTTCGACCGGCCAGGGCGACATCCAAGACACTCTCCTCGTTTCATTCGTCAATGAGACGCGGGTATTCATGTTCGACCAAGAAGCGTCGGTGGAAGAAGTGGACAGCTTTCACCATCTCGAGTTGTCACAGCCAACCCTACACGCCGCAAATCTCCCGGGGCGCAAGCTGATGCAGGTTTATGAGACCGGGCTGAGGATTACGGACCTCGAGTCAAGTATGCTTACCCTCGAGTGGAAGCCGCGGGACACAGGAGCCAAGTTGACAGCCGCAAGCGCAAACTCGGTGCATCTGGTGGTCGTCGAAGGCGGTCACACACTGCACGTCTACCACACAGCGACAAACGATGCCAACCCTGCCATTTCGAAGACGTTCCAAGCCGACTCGCAGATCTCGAGTGTGACCGTCCCAGAACCCCAGAGCAACGTATGTATTGTGTCATTTTGGCAGACTGCATCGCTCGCAATTCTCGACCTATGTACCCTCGAAGTGCTCCGGACCGAGTCTCTAGGCACACCTGGGACTGATATCCCGAGATCGGTCTTAGTCGCCAACCTCCTGCCTGACTCTCCGCCGACTTTGTTAGTTGCCATGGCTGACGGCACGGTCGTCTCGTACTCATTCGACTCCACCAAGAACACGCTGTCATGCACGGACAAGGTGCTGCTTGGTACAGAGCCCGTTTTCTTCAAACAGCTACCCAAGGGCAGCCACGCAAACCTTTCGAACATCTTCGCTTCGTGTGAGCAGCCGTCGTTGATCTACTCATCCGAGGGACGAATCATCTATTCAGCAGTCAATTCCGACAACGCCTCACGTGTCTGCAGTTTCAACTCGGAGGCGTATCCGGACGCCATCGCGATTGCGACTCCCAATGAGCTGAAGCTGGCTCTCATCGGCAAGGAGAGGACAGCGCAACTTCAGACCCTGCCGATCGGCGAGACGGTGCGATGTCTCACGTATGCACCCGATGCCCGCGTTTTCGCCATGGGATGCGTCCGTCGGACCATTGAAGATGGTGCGGAAGTGTTGTTGAGCTCTATCAAGCTTGCGGACGAAGTGAGCTTCCGAGAACTGCACTCGATAGAACTGCAGGACAAGGAACTGGTCGAGTGTATCATCACCACCGGCTCTTTCGACAACGAAGACGATTCACGGGCTTATGGGGAGATGTTCGTCGTGGGAACGAGTATCCTGGAGGAGGCCGAGCATGGCGAAGACGTTCTGAAGGGACGGATTCTCATCTACGAAGCCAACAAGGAGAAGACGCTCAGGGAAGTCACTTCGATCAAGGTCAAAGGTGCCTGCCGTAGCTTGGCTATGTGCGAGGGTAAGATCGTGGCTGGCCTGGTCAAGACGGTGACTGCACAGTTCCCACCACGAGGTCTTCCTGCTAACCTCTCCAGGTCGTCCTGTACGGGCTTGTGCCCTCCTCAAGCCGCGGCGACCACTCGCTCCAACTGCAAAAACTCGCTACCTATCGCACGTCGACGAATCCTCTGTCGTTGGCTATCACGCCTGCCACATCGACGAGTCCGGCCCTCATTGCCGTCGCGGACCTCATGAAGTCCCTGTCCATCCTGCAAGTCGACACCAAAGATAAGAATTCCGCAACAGGCTACAACCTGGTCGAAACATCCCGTCACTTTGCCACCCTCTGGTCTTCGGCAACCGCGGCCATCAAGGAAAATGAATGGGTCGTCGCAGATATGGAAGGCAACCTGATCACGCTTCGACAGATTCAAGATGGAACCGGCCCGCAGGGATACAATCGCCGGCTAGAAGTGACGGGAGAGTTCCGCCTCGGGGAGGTGGTCAACAAGATCGTCGCTCTGTCAACATCACCCCGGTCGAGTCGGGAAAGCTGGTCCAAACTGTCCAATGACCCTGAGCAGATCCGAAGACTCCCCCGAGAAGGATCGGTCGTTACGCCGCGCGCATTCGTCGCCACCATCGAGGGCAGTATCTACATGCTCGGCACGATCAATCCTCCGTACATGCACATCCTCCTGACACTGCAGTCCGTGTTGGCGAACCGGGTGCAAGCTCCGGGATACATGCCGTGGAGCAAATTCCGGGCATGGAGGACGGAGGTGAGCGAGAAGGATGAACCGTTTCGTGTCGTCGATGGAGCGATGCTAGAGCAGGCTCTGCTCCAGTTAGGGGACGAGGATTTGGCGGCCTGCTTGAAGGAGGGTGGTCTTGACGCTGAGAAGGTGAGTGTCCAGGATGTGAGGCGGTGGGGAGAGGAGTTGAAACGATTGTGTTGAGGGGCGGGCGCGACATCTGGGGTGGGAGGGCACAGAACAGGATAGGACAGGATAGGATAGTCGAGGCAGTGACTGGGCGAACGAAGGAATGAGTGAAGGATTTGAGTGGATGATGGAGTTTGTCCAAGGCAAGATAGAAAGACCATTACAAGCACTATCAAGGAGAAGGGTACGGAGTGCTCTTCACTCTTGAGTCTTCATTCTTCACGCAGTATGAGACGAGTGGGTACGAGTACGAGTACGAGGAGGAGCATGAAGATGTATATCGCAGCGATCAAGCAATTGCTTACATACACTGCACAACTGGTTGAACCGTGCGACGGTCAGGCAGATCCAGCAGATCTAGGTATCTAACGGAAGACTAGACAGCCGGCGAGATACATGCACGCAATTCGCGCAATTCACTCACTCACTCACTCTCACTCACAGCTAGCGCGGCGTTTTATCCTCTGCGAGTCTATGTACTGCACTTTGATGGTGTGCTTCTTCGTCGTCCTGCTCGTTGTCGTCGCCATACTCTTCGCTTCTCGGTGCAGGCCAGAGAATACATACTGTATACATATCTGGTAGGTTCCTCTCGTTCTACCTGAGAAATCAAATACTGTACAGTACGAAATGTAATATGTAGCACGCCGATCGCGCTGCCTGCCTGCCTGCCTGCCTGCCTGCCTGCCTGCCTGCCTGCCTGCCTGCCTTGCTCTGCTCCCCTCCCCGCCACGGTGCGCGCACTCGGGCTTTTTGTTAGAATCCAGCAGGAGTCTCGAACCACGCCTGGATCGGAAATCGGGAATCGACACGCAGGAACGAACGAACGCACGTAGACTATCCTGGCTGTCTCCCACGTTATCTGTCACCTTGTGGCATCCTGGTGGATTTCTTGATGCTGAGTTCGTGGCCCCGTCTAGCATAGCCTCGTCTGGTCCAGCGCAGCGCAGCGCAGAGAAGCAAATTTTCTACGCGGTACTGTAAGGTGAATCGTGAATGAGCTTTATGGTCGCTCGGGAGGCGTGCGGCGTGAAAGGAAAGAAAGTCGCTTGTAGAGGGCGGTAATTAGCCGCTTTAGGGAAGCGTGGATCTGGCAGCCATACTCCGTACTGGAGTAGGTACGTACGGCACATTGGTACCTGCATAATCCATCCCACCATCCAGTCTGTCATCCAGCCCGTCGTCCAGCCCGTCGTCCAGTCTGTCGTCCAGCCTGTCATCCAGCCCGTCGTCCAGTCTGTCATCCAGCCTGTCGTCCATTCCACCATCTGGTCTATACTAACTACCTGTATGTCAAGCTAACCTTCCATCCATCATCCATCCCATCATCCAGTCCATGCTAACCACCTGCATGCAAGCTAACCTTCCATCCCATGCCATCTTTATCTCGCCATGCTACCCAAGCGACTCTGTTTCCGACCAAGTAGGATGTCAGGCTGATCTCCCCAGATTCGGCTGCCCTTCTTTGCATCAGTCCTGCTCTACTCCGTACTCTCGCTGCTGCGTCCGTAGGTTGGGTTGCTTAGGTGGGTCCGTATGTACATACCCAGTAGTCCATGAACTGCGGCGCCCCCCTAATGCACGTCCAAGCCGCCGACACCTCAACCCTCACCCTGCCGTGTTCGGCACTGTGCTCTGCTTTGCACCTTTCGTATCGTAACGAATTAACGACTTCGCATTTCTAGGAAGCTACCCGTATTGACCAGATTACCCCGCCGTGTTGGCTTGGCTTAGCCTGTCTTATAGGACGACGTCTACGGAGCACTACAGTCTCTCCTTGAAGCCGTCCAATGAAACACGCTTTATGGTCCCCCCTGCCGGTCTATGCAGCGTCTGTATACAGTAATGCACAGGAGATAACTCTCAATCGGCGTGGAACGTGGTGCAGACAGGTTAACCAACTTTCCAATGCTTCGAAAGAGAACATCGCTGTCTATACCTCGCATTAGTTTGCGCCAAATTTCATTTGACGAATTCAAGGATAGACTGTAGTAGGCCTCCGTACACGGTCACGAACCGTTTCAAATATAGCTGTCGTGTACTCGGTAGGGGTGGTGTTTTTCGTCAATACCCGTGGAAGTGGGCTATCTAGGTGGGAAGGGAGGGTCAATGACGCCTGTTGGCCTACTCGCACGAAATGGTGCCGATGACTCTCGTCTCCTTAGTAAGGGACTGTCGGGCCTACCCAGCACTGGGGTATGTCTGTCCTGGCTGGCCTTTGCTTTTGAGGTGACTACTGGCTCGAAACGCATGCACGCAGGTCCAGTAGGCGGGTCGATATGTCGCTGGGCAGGCAACGCAGGATCCGAGTCGGCTTGTCGTTCCATGAGTGGATGGAAGGAAGGACGAAAGAATACGGGGAGTCCGTCTGGCGTCTCTGTAGGGTGTCCCCGAAACCGTGATATCCGTATCCGGTAATGGTGAAATTGAGCACCCAATGCAATCCTTGAGAAGTGCATGCGCAAGGCACTCACGGGAGTTATAATCTGGGTATTCAGCTGGCCACCTTTGGTCCGCGGGATATGGCGTCCTTGAAAGTTGAAATCGTGATATCCGAAGCCGGTAATGGTGAAGCTGAGCACCCACGAACGGGACGGGGGCGTACGCGCAAGGTACCTCCTGGAAGTATAGATCTCATTTGCTAGCCATCTGTCCCTTGTTCTGTCCGCCCGGCTGTCTACCTATCTATAAATATTGCTTGCAGGCCGCGCATCAAGGTTGAGTAGCCTCTCCACTGACCATCCTCTTGCGAACACAACGAACGAATATTTCCACGCACAACACCAGTAATACGAAGAAAACCAAGATCAAGATCAACAAGACATCCTCGCTTCCAGTCCGTAAGTACAGCATATCCATATGCACGTTCCATCATCCAGGTCCTGACCCCTCTCAGGAACGCCGGCAAAGACGTCAACATGTCCATCGCGGAAAAATCGGAACGGGAAGCACAAGCCAGTACTCGTGGACCACATGGCGAAGACGTTGTAGGCATGATGCCCTTCTCACCTCACGGTGGGGCTCCTCATCGCCATCAACAACATGACGGGGACAAGGATCCTTTGGCCGAAGAGATCGAGGAATTGGTGCGCATGGCCCGCGCAGAAGCTGCTGGCGCGGTTGAAGGTCCTGGGCATCAAGCCAGTCAGGTGGTCCATGGTGGACAAAGGAAGTGAAAAATATGGCAAGCGAGGGGGATCCCTGTGGTGAAGGCAGTGGAAAGAGGACCCAGATATACTGTTGAAACTGCATCCCGCGACAGAATGCACCAAGTAATGCACACTGAAATTCATACCATCGTCGTCGGTGTCCTCACCCCGTCATCTCGATGTCCGATAGAACCGTCTGCACACTGCGGCGCGTTGAAAAGGTACTAGGCGGAGCGTTACTCATGAAGCTGAATCTCCAGCTGCTGTGGGAGGTTCCTGACTCAGAGACGGCATCCTGCCAGAGGCCATCATCTGAGAATCTTGTCCGCCTTCTTCGCAGACGCTCGGCTGTCGAGAGGAAAGATCGCAGACTCGAACTGTTTGACGGCGTGTACGTCCTGGCAAGCGCTGGGGTAAGGACTGAAGACTGTTCACATATTACTCCCGATAGTGCAACTTCGCTCAAGGGCGAAAGGAGACTTGAGGAAGGCGCAGGCACTTGTTCCAACAGGCTGGCGTCGATCAAGTTCGAGGGAGGTATTGGAACATGCGAATATTGGTGTTGTGACGGACATATTCCGAGCAGAAACTCCTCCTCTAGTGAAGGTATTGCTTTGTCCAACCTCGGGGGCGACATATCCATAGCAAAATCATCACTAGGGATCGTGACACGGGCAACGGATGCGCAGATCTCCACCACTTCGTCCGGAGAGGGGCTTAGGGCATCGTAAGGACTCTCGACAGCCAAAAGCAGCAATTGCAACCGACAGGAACGTCCAAGCTCGTCTAGTCTTGCCGGATTCGACAGAATGCCGCGCTGATACTGCCTCGCTGCCTCGATGAATTCGACCATGTTTCCGACGCGGCCCGTCTTGCTGAGAAGCACAAATGGTGCTAGAGCAACAGTGACGATTGTCCACCGGACACGAAAATTCCGGCCGCCCGGAAATCGCTCCGTGGCCCGCGCCGCTCTAGCGGCACCTCGTCGCGCATATGCTTTGAGAACCGTGCAAGCAAGTCTCCTGGCGATGCTCGTGGCCGTCGTATCGAGGAACTTCCATGCATCTTTGGTCAAGACGTCGAGCTCATCCAACTGCTCTTCAAGAATTGAAAGCGCAATTTCCATACCGTCCAGGAAACAGTCTCCGAGAAATTCGTCACTGAAGGCAACATGTAGAAGGTCTCCCGGACCACTCTGCGGGTCCCACTCCTTACTCAGGGGGTTGTGGCGCGTCACTGAATGACTGAACCCAAGCACAGCGAAGGCACCAAAAATGACTCCTTCGAGAATGCCTGGCTGCAAGCGCCTGGTCCCACCACTGATGACGCTTTCGAGACGATGACCCAGGTCAGCCAAGGTACTCTTCACTCTGCTCGAGAAGGAATCAACTGGAGTCAATGGGGCAACACCTCCATAAACGCATTGAATCATGCCATATGCGACTCGGAACTGAAGATCGCTCTGTGCGCTCTGAGCGCATGCTATTGCTGCGAAAGTCATATGTAAATGACGGTAACGGATGGACGTGTTGATGTGGAAGTTTGCAAAAAGCATACAAAAGAGGTCAAACGCTTGGTCAAACGCTTTGACTGTATGTAGCAGGGTTGCGATCTGGGCCACATGGGCGATGTTCGTCGCTGCAGCACCGCTGCCAAGCTGCTCCAGATAGATCCGCATCAGTGATTCTGAGTGAATATGATAAATGAATACCTTGCGCTGCAAAGGATGGTTACATATTAGCTTGAACCTTGACGGGGGTCTGACGGCAGAACGGTGATCGGTCATGTCAGACTGCAATGGCTTTGGGACATGTGTGTTGAATAGAGCAGGGTCACTCCCCAGAAACGACAGCGAGGCTCGACAGGTTTCCAGGTCCGGTGAAGTGCCAACATTGGATAATATGAGATCTGTTATGGGGCCTGGCTGTGGAGCCGCACCACCATGGTCGTTGTAGGGGTCGTCCAACATTGCTGTATTCGTGAGACGCGGTGCATTTTCCATTTGTAGAGTGTTTGATGTGCCCACGTGCTGAAGCTGGTTTGCACAGCATACACCGATTGTTTCTGACTCCGTTCCTGACCCCAATCCGCCGACGTGTTCCTCATCATACGATTGGGGCGCTATGTTATGGAACCGCTGGGTCTGAGATGGGAGCGTAGGGCGTTGTCTTCGGTATTTATGGAGCCTGAACTTAGCCCTTTGACGGTCCAACTGAGCAAAAGTTATTGGCGTCCCAAGGACAGCGTTGCATTCCACAAGCATCTGTTCTCTGTTGACACCTTGGAAATGTAGGGTAGGGAGCAGGGCTGCAAGCATTGCCTCATCGTCTTTAGTGATCCTCCCGTTGTACTGCGAAGAGGTCGGGTCTCGTTGAATGAATTTGGCTTTGGGTTCGACCTGGCGAGGCTCAGCCGCTTGGTCCATGCTGCCACCGCCACCGTGTGGGCCAGGACGTCGCGCTGCTTGAGCGGCCTACAGTCCTCTTGAATGGGGCAATTGGGAGGAGCTCGACAGAGAGTTGGTCGGCTGGCTGAAGGGTTAGGATAATAGCGAGATATGGGTGAAGAAGGCAAGTCAGTCTTGTGCAATGGTTCGAGAGAGTCCCAGACCGCCCAGATGAATTCTTGATTCCTGCATCGGGAATAGTCTGCGGACCTTGGCCAGGGTCTGGCTGCTTCGGATTGGGTAGTAGACTCATGGGCTCCAGCATCGCTGCCCAGCCGAATTTGGTTGCGAATGTCATCGACGGCACATCGAAGAGTTTTGAGCAGGTTGTGCCTTATGGCGTCGTATGGAGGTTGATGATTCTGCGGACGAAATCCAATCGACAAGAACAACAGCAAGTACAGCAACAGCTTGCATGGTCAAGTTGCGTGGAAAGCCCCCATGGTCTACACCATTGGCTTCGAGAGAGATGTTTTCTGCAAACCTGCTCGTTTGGAGGTGATCTTCAAGTAGGAAGCAAGACATGGCGTGAACCGAACTTGTGCACTGTTTGTCCGAGGGTACTACCAGCCTTCTCGAAAATGATAGAAGATGAAAAGGCCAAGGTCGAATCGATCAATGCCATGCATTTCAGACCCACAACGATGGGCTCCGCATCAACAATATCGGAGTAGTCTCTGAGGAAGTCCGCTCTGGTAAGTGCGTCGCCGAGAGCACGAGAGAAGATTAGAAAGGGAGTTGGGAAAATCAGAGCGTGAGAGTCAAATTGAAGTCTGCACGGAAGCAAGATGATAGGCCCCAGATACGGTTTTAAGCAGATAGGTACGACTGACAGTACTGTGTGGTCAAGAGGGGTGAGCGTCGGCGCAGGTAGACACCCGGTGCGCAGGTCAAAATCTACCAGGCACAGTGAAGTTGATCGGTTGTGGGACTCGACGTGGTGATCGGTCTGCCATCGAGAACGGCGTCATTTGGAAGAGGTGATCAGCTCGGAGAGCACTCGGCGCTTTTTCAGCTGGTGCGTGCGATACAAGAAGTTCTTGAAGCAGTGTTATTGGGATAAAGGACGGAGGAGGAGAGAAGACAAGTGAAATGAGACGAGCAGGCGCGAGTGCCATATGCAACCGATCACGTGAGAGCGTGGAGCAGCTATTATGCTCTAACCTGAATGGGACAAGCTTCTGGCACGCGACGCGTTCAAGTTCAATTCCTGCTCGTGCTGCAGCTCGTTGAACATGGCAACAACGTCGTCGACCAGCAGCAGTCAGTCTCCAGCACTTCGGAATCCCTTTCGGCACGATCTCTGGATCCTGTTCTTGAAGCCACTCACCGCATTCCTCACGCCTGTTCCGGCAACGTCGCAGAGCCACCATCCGCTTTCGAATGCTTCATCCTCAACCCTCTCGCCCCTCATGGGCTTCTCATACAGTTCAATCTCCCCTGAGTTTCCCGATACAAGTTGAGCTCTTGAGCAGCTAGCACCTGCCCTTCGACCGCTTGAGCCTCATAGCACGGTCTCCGTCAAAGCAATAGGAGGGAGTTCGGGTGCTAGTGTTATGCGTATCGGAACCTAACCCTAAGATATCTGTCGGTTCAAAGTATCGCGGTCCAGTTGTCGAGTTTCTGACTAGCTTCATCCGCGTGCCTCCTGCTTACTATCTGCTCCGGCAGAGAACGGCGGGATGGATTGGGTGCGGTCAAAGGAAAAGTGCGACGTTCAGAGCTCTCCTTTGAGGGCGGTGAAAAACGGTCTCGCCATGCGTCTGGTTGGTAAGCGTCCCTGAGGGACCGCGCGTCGGCATTCCAACGCTGAACATTATACGTGATCATGTATGGGATGTTTCGGTCGATATGGGCGTGGAACACGAGTCAAGAGAAAGCGGAGATGACTGTTCGTGGGAGATACGTGCACCGGGGTATATGCCTAGAGCACAAAGATAATGCAGCCCACACACAAGATTGCTGGAAGTCCTTGCTGGTGTCGACGGGATCCACTGGCCGGAAACCGAGTTGATGTTACTCGCTGTCAGGTCTCGGACGCTCCTGCAAGACTTCGATATCGGCATGTCTTTCCACCTTGGCACTTTGTCTGTTTCGGCCGGCTATATCTGAGCACATGCATTTACGAAAGTCAACCCCAGTTTCACACTGCGACTCCTCTCAAACTCTGCTCCAGCTTCCACACCGTGCGAGCCACGGTAGCTCATTCACCGAACGTACATCGAGGCACCCGCCACCGGATGTGTACTTCTACGGAAGATCCCGATCAGCCGCGTTAATCATCAGCATCATGTTGCATCATGGTGAAAAATGAGAGCGCCGAATCAGCGTGTCCTTGATCCTTCATGGTTTTTGGACTCGCGATGACCCTCACTTTCGAGTGGGAAGAGGACGATTTTTGATGATGTTCTTTGTGCGTCCTGGCCTGAGAAATGGCGAATGTCCTTCGAATTTGCGGAAGAGAAGACCAAAATCTTGTCTCCGAGGTTACTGTATTACACACGAGAGAGGCATCATTTCCTGTTTGACAGGGCTTGGATGTTGCGTTTGGATCGGATTCTGTCGATCGCGTGGGAATGAAGCGTGGGATATATTGTGGGCCGAGGGATGGATCCAGAGGGACGACTTCCGAAGCAGCCTGCCGAATGCTTGACTTTATGCTGCTACGACGATGTGTGAAACAGATCGTGCTCTCTGATGTTCACCGAAGACTGTATCAAGTGGACTGCATCTTGCTGCAAGATCTCAACTTCCTCCTGGATCCAGGGAACACTCTTGTCGCGACGGGTCCCTGAAAGTCTAGCGACTGAGCTATCGAAAAGTCCTGCAAGGCTTCAAAATTACCAGTGGAACGTTCCACGGTGAATCAATCACATTGCTTGAGAAGACCGAGGCTTCGCGAAGATGAACAGAGCACCAAGTGATCGAGACAGGACCTCTCTCGAGTGAGGATCAAAGCTTTGGCTTGTCTGTCCTTGTCACCTGCTGTTTATAATCGCTGCTAAGGTTCAATCTTGTTTTTTGAGAGATTTTCTGTTACAATCCTACTCTTGGTCGCGGCGATGGACATACTCTTGCTCTGGTCTGGCGAGGACGGCTCTCCGGTTTGCTCGAAGTGACGGATCATGGATGGGAGTTGGGCGAATTTGCCTCAAGAAGCGCAGAATGCATGTCGATATGTGTCGTATAGGCTATGGACAGAAGGCCCGGTGCTCGTCGTTCCTGGATGCTTACATGCTCTTTGGACGGCGGGCGCACTACTTTTATAAGTCTCCCTATTTTGTCCCTTACTGAGAAGTGCTAACCAGGTACTAGTCAGATCCCTGGCAGTCATTGGTTCTCTCGGGAGTTCGAACGAGCCAGAATTATACCAGACTTGCTCAAGTCTATTCCTGATGTCAACACTCGCCCAGATGTGCACGCAGAACACGCTATCACTGCCCCGTCTCAAGTACTGCTGAGCATGTCGACTGCGGGTACCTAAGTGACTACAATCAACGGAAGAAATGACCTCCTCTTGCACGGCCTGAGGTCCATCTCGATTCCTCCGCGACGGACCCTTCTCGCAGGCCCTTGACTCGGACTTTGCACAATAGCAGCAGGATCTTTCTTGAGGGCGCTGCTGCGAGTGTCAACAACTTTGCTATTAGTAGCGTCATCGACCTCGCTATGACTGTTGACGAGCGCCTTCTCAACCACATCCCCTTTGATGGGCACCTCGGCCGTCAACCTCGAGGGGACCCATATCTCCTACTTTCGGCCACAACGATGCCCTGCTCCATCGCCGAAGAAACTCGGCAGCTGAAACCCAGAAGTGTATGCCCAGCTTGCTCTTCTTGAAGATGGCGGCCGCTCACGAGGAGAAGGGCATCCGCTGCTTCTATCTCGTGTGGCCTCCAGCTCTTGACAGTGAAAGTGGTGTTATTGATGGGTGCCATCACGATGACCGGTCTGTGACGGTGCGTCAGAAGGACTTTGAGTAGCGAGGAAAAGGAGGGAACGTACTGAAGGCTTGGAATGGTCGAATCTGTTTTCACGTGTGTAGAGGCAGTGCGTTCACGAGGGTTGCACTTCAGAGGAGTAAGTGGCAGAAAGTGGCATAAACTCGAAGGGAAAGCAGGATACAAGAAGGCCCCGACGCCGGGAGCGCACGCCTAACTAAATACTCGACGTCTTGGTGAAGGTCCTCGTCATGATACTTCACGGAAACCAAAGTTTTTGTTGCAGTTTAGCGGGCTGGAAGTCTGTGCATCAAATTTCGAGCATGTAGTCGCCCTTCGAGGTATTGGGCAGTCATCCAGTGACTCAGTGCACAGTCAGGCCGTTGAGGACCTTCGTGCCAGAATGCCAATATAAGGACATTGCTTGCGCATTAGGCTTGCTCCAGCTACTTACAGTACATGGCGGTCTTCTTCATGACTTTCCTCTCTGACGGATAAAAGCCCCCAACACGACCTTCCTCGCAATGGGTCTTCCAGCCGCGCTGCTTGAGAACACTATTTGCTCATGAAATCGTACTTCTTCACCACACGCCCCGCGGAATGCGATGAGGACAACCACAAACAGCCTCATTACGACGGCGGTCCCCGTAGACACCACCATTGACTTTAGTATCGGCCCGCCTCTGTCACCTACAGGGAACAAAAAGACGAAGATAGAGCCAGAGGACTCAGCCCTCAAAAACGTACGGAACTGCAGCGCCGGTGAAGGAGACAGTGGCGACGTCAAGAGCAACGTCAAGAGCAACGTCAAGAGCAACGTCAATACCAACGTCAATACCAATGCCAATATCAGTACTAGAACCAACGCGAGTACTAACGTTAATACCAACGCCTAGGTGGTTACCTTCTATAGCGAGGATATCGACCTCCTGCAATACCCATTCGCTGGCGATTCCCTTACCCACAGAATTGCTTTGGACAGGACATATGACGAGACCGGGGATATTCACTCTCGAGGGCCTGAATAGAGGACTGTCAATTAAGTGGACAAGAATGCGGGTGCTCATGGTGCTCTGTGAGTCCGCGGACACTCATGTCTGTCCTCTGGACTCGGGGAGGAACCGAGTACCAGCGCCAGTACCGAATGAGCACAATTGGCGAAAGGTCCACAATGCGGACTCGGGACTCGGCGACTCGAACTCCTTTCTCAGGGCAGCCTTGTATAATTGGCAGAGCGACGCGGCTCGGAACTTAAATTTAAGCTTAAAACTCGGCTCGGATGGCTGTTCCGGGGTTGTGAATAACTGTTCATGAACTCCTCACTCTTTGTTGAGCTCCGATTCTCTTCTCACTCATCTGTCTATACTGTGACTGCACCACTCTTCGGATTGCTTGACACCAAATTGCTGCGTCGTAGCACGCGCGATTCTCGGCTTCTACCAAGTACTTTTGTTAAACGAGTTGTAAGAATCTTTTCTACGGACCGCTCAAAGTGGAGACATGACATTCATCGGCTACTTCTCTGCACAAGACGGAGTACTTGGTGAGATATTCTGAAAGAGATCTGAAGTGAGATGCGCCACACCAGCTCGACGACCTGCATTACTTACACGAGCTGACACCACGAATGGCGCCATATCGTATTCACTTCCGACTCAATCCAAAAACATCGTATTGAAGAGCCGGTTGCCCGTGTCAGTGCCTCGCTTGCCTGTAAACTTGTTGTCTCACAGTCTCAGAGCAATCAGACTCAATGTCAGAATGCTGCGATATTTCAACGACACCCAACTTGACTTGATCTTGTCGACCACCTGCGGCTGAACGACCCCTGCGACAACGATGATACGGATTGTGCCATGTCCACTCTTGTGGCCCTCAAGGCCGCTACTGGCCAGTTCGAAGATACGTTGGATGAACTTGAGCACAGACTTCCGCTGTTGACCACCGAATCAACCAGGATGATTGTCCTCATCATCTGCAGATGCTTCTCCGTGATATCCTCGGGGTGATTGGCAGGGCGGAGGGCAGCGAGGGGGAACGCATCGTTGACGCCCAAGGCCATGGGCTCACTGCCTCGCATCAGTGCAACAACGACGGTGCGCAACTCGTCGAGCAAGTGGTGGCCAGCGATGAAATTGCCCTGCACATGCGGGATCTGATACTCTTCCACACCGACAATGACGGGTACCAAAACTGTGGGCTAAGGACCAGCCCACCCGACGATGTGCCTCTCTCAACGCCGGGCCAGCAACTGATGCATCGCGTGTTGGCGTCATGAGGATTTTGGCTGCCTTCTCGTTGGTCATTTCCAGATCACAGACATCGACGCAAGTGCCGTTGTCCCGACGCGAGAGGATTGCCTGCATGAAGTCCGGGTTTGTCAAAATGGTTACCGGCAGTTTGGTCGCGTTCAGTCTAGGTGGGGCGCCGCTCGCCATGACGACCTGACACACATGCTTACCTTGGAAACTGCCATTGTCGAGTGCCATTTCCAAGGCTGCCTCCATGGAACTACTCCGATGCTCGGCATCACCTACCACGACGATGGCCCGATCTGAGGTGGCCAGCATCCCGAGGTCTAGCACGCTGTCCCCGAATGCCCAAGTCTCCAAAGAGTGGACGTTCTGCAGACGAGAGACGAGGGATGTCTTGACCGCCGCGGTGACGACAAATCCGTCGGCAAGACGCCCTCCACCTATGACCTTGATGCTATCAGAGAGGCTCGCAAGAGCTACTACCCTCTCCCATACTTGGCGGAGTCCGCAGGTGACCAGAATTGCTCCCACATGCGGCTGGGCTGTGACAGTACGCAGGAGCGACACGAAGTCATCGTATAGATGTGTCGCATCTGCAACCTCCCAGATGGAACAGACTTCACCAGAAGAACTAGGTATCTTACTGTGTTTGCCGATGGTACAATCAGCAAACAAAACAAAGAAAGAAGAGATGTGCACTGATGCCCTTGTTTAACTTGTAGGGCATGACGACCAGGGCCTGTATTGCAGCAGACCTGTACGACTGGAGATGATCTTCCCAGTCAAATAAGGGACAATGTCGTCGACTCGGGTGGTATGGTGAGAGTAACTATGTCCTGGCAGAAAAAGGCAGCCCCTAACCGCCGTTCCTATCTCAGTAGGCATGCCAGGGTAGAATTGCCAACAAGTATGTCCGTCGTGCGACATGAGAATAGTCAGGCCATGTGCTCTCCATTTCGATTCGCTATTGCTGCCGCCGCTGGCGCCGCTGCTGAACACTACTCGATGAGTCCGTGCGTCCCAATAGCTGTCGTCGCCAAAGGTCCTCAGCAATAAATAAGGGAAAAACTTCTCGCAATGAACAAGGTTTCGTTTCTCGTGGTTCGGTATACCCTATTTGCTCTGAACCAAACCGCGAATACCACGAGTACCGCCATGAGGACCTTGACATCGCCTCGACGGCGTATAAAAGGATGGCATCGGTCGATGTGGCTCTCCCACAGATCACTCACAGCCCGATTGAGTCCTCAGCGATATCCAACATACACAGCACGCCCACGCTCTTGACGACAGCGTCTTTTCTTCCAGCACGAGAACATAGCTAGCTACCACAGCAAATTGACTCCGACGTCTTCCAACACGATAACATAGCTAGCCACCACAGCAATTGTCTCCGGCGCCCAAAATGCCTTCCACCAAGTCAAAGACGGTGTCGCCTTCCGAGCTCAATGAGCCCGAATACAACCCTGGTCTTGCGGCACAGTATCGCTTCAACATGCTCTCCTTCCCCGGGCTGGAAAAGCTCAACGAGAACGACATCAAGCTAGACGCCAAAGCAATGGGCTTCAAGATGCCCGAGGAGGGTGTCCTCACCGCACAACGCTTCCACGTCACTGCCAAAGACGTAGACTCCTGGCACAAAGATCTGGCCTCGAAGGCACACCGGGCCATCGCGAAAGGCAAGAAGGATGCGCGAGCGTCGTACGTCAAATGGAGCGAGCATCTCCAGAAAGCCGGTTACAAGGACGTCACGCGGAACCTCGTGCGCATGGACACGAAATTGGACATGGACATTGACTGCCCGCCAAAGCCCGAGCGGCCCTATTGGGACCACCCCATAGAGTGGATGGAGTCGAATCTCCGTCCTGAGGTGGCCGCGCGTGAGTTGCGCACGTGGCACGCGAGCGAAAAGGCGTGGGCGGACTTCCGCAAGGACATGGCGGCGTTCAGTGATCCTTTCGAGGACCGTCAGTGTCTCCAAGACGAACTGTCCACGCTGTTACAGTCCGTTTGTTTCGAGGGGAGTCCGGTGAAGAGCCCGCGGGGAGGTGAAGAGCCGGGCCCCGAGATGGGCGGCGGTCAATTACCCTATCCGTTTTGTGAGGCGGCGTTCCTCGAAGAGTTTGTCAGCCCCTTGTTCCAGCGGGAGGAAGAGGAAGAGGAACATGGGTCCAAGGCAACGCTAACGCTGGTCGATCGACTGATCAGGAGCGAAGATACCGCCATGGATATCCTTGCCCTTGTGGACGCCGTGGAGGAGGAGTGGCGGAAATTGGTCGCTTGTGCGTGAAGGCAATGGCAGGCGTCACGCCGTTATAGAGGAGCTCCGGAGTCTAGTCCTGTGCGGGCCCTCACCATATACAAGTCGGCCTACGGAAAGTTGAAGAACGCGGTGGAGCGAGAGGCACCGGAGCACAGGAACTGTGTACAGTGGAGGTGTAGGAGGGCAGTGGCATTGCTGCGGGCTGAGCGGAGGGTGAAAGCTCAGCTGGAAACGAAGCCCATCATGGCCGCCATGTTGCCAGAACCGGCGTTAGACGCGAAAGAAGCGGCGGCGGCGAGTTTCGTGGCTCGCCGCGTGGGAAAGACCGGTGGCTTGAATGCCACAACAAGGTGGTGCCACTGGAGAGAAGGGTGAAGGAGAATGAGATGGAGGTCGAGGGCATGTAACGTGAATGGACTGATCAACCGTCAGCCAGTCCATGGGGGCAATGCCACCTGATTGTACTCCGTACTGTACTTTTACATGCTCCGCCCTGGTGTGGCGACGATTAACACTTCCATACCCCGACCTCGCCGTTCTTCCTTCCCTCGATCAGATATCCATCCTTCAGCCTGACTCGGTCGACGATACTGGTCTTCGTGCCAGCCATGCGATCTTCCACGCTCGTGTTGACACCCGCGCCGCAGTCCCAATGTCGGCCGTCGGCCTTGTCGTAGACTTTGACCACGTCCTCACCCGCGGCACAGACAATATGGCGAGAGTCGAACATCATGCTCGTTATCGGCGCATCGTAAGCATAAGCGTCGAATATAGTCCCCATACGAAGATCCCAAATCTGCAAGAGAGACATTAGTTCAGGTGCAAAAATCTACGGGCTGCGCCAACTTACTCTTACGCTCCTGTCAACGCTGCCCGTGACCAGATGGGTGTCATCGAATTGCAGACAGGTCACGGGCCCTGTATGCCCGACCAGACTCCTGTGGACTTGTCCACTTCTGAGATCCCACAATCGTACCATGCCATCAGCGGTGCCACAAGCCAAGGCTGCGTCGAAGCATTGGATAGCTCCGACAAAATCCGCGTTGGTATCTGCCGAGCGCCCTGTCGGCCGCCATTGGGAGTCTGAATCGTTCATTGTAGAGCTGGCCTGGGCTGCTGCCCAGAGTACGTCGAGCGTCTGCACACAGCGCCCTTTCTCCAGATCCCATTGCCGGAGGGTCTTGTCCGCGGATCCAGACACCAGAGTTTTGCCACGGAGGTGTAATGCCGTGATTGCGTCGACATGCGCCTCGAGCACGAACAGTGGACAGTCTTCCATGGCGTCAGGTGGAGGCGGCGGAGGAGCGTCTTCACCCTCGTTGCCGAAACCCAGGCCGTCGTCCTCATCGTCCGCCTTGTCGTCACCGTTTTCGAATACTCTATGTTCGTATGGCTCATACTTGGCACGACTCAGATCCCACAGCCGGATCGTAGCGTCAAGACCTCCAGTTGCCACGATGTAATCCTCGACCTGGAGACACCGGACAGACGCAGTATGGCCTTCCAAGAACCCCATACAACGGCCCAGATTCAGATCCCACACGCGGACCGTATCGTCCAATGCGGCGGTAACCATAGTACCAAAAGGTTGGTCAAAATCAATGGCGGTGATTGCGTCGTTGTGGGCAGGAAGGGTTTTGATATGAGAGCCAGATTCAAGGTGTTCATGGAGCACCGGCATGGATTTTCTCTTCGTAGGTTTGGGCCGCCGTTTTGACTTTGGAGATGCAGAGTTGGGCAGCTTGTCGTAGATGGACTGGGACATGAACGATGCGTCCATTGCTTCGGACTCGGGCGTGGCGACACGAGGCGGGTTAATTGTGCTGGTGGACTGATTCATCTCTCCCTGCTCTTCCAGCTCTACTTGCATTTCCTCGATCTTGTTGTCCAGCTCTGCTAGCTCATGCTCCACCTCCGCTTCATCCTGCTCGAGTGAGGTCAACCGGTCGACCGCGACCCTCCGCATGTGCTGAAGATTGGCCAGCTTCCTGTCAATGTCTGTGATCTCGGTGGTACACATGTTCTTGCGGATAGCCATCATCTCCAGCCGATGGTTGACCGTGTTTCTCTTCTTCTTGAGGTTCGCTATGGTGGGCGGACCATCTTCTTCGACATCTCCAGCACCCAGCAGTCTGTGCTGCTTCGAACTCCGCCGACGGTGTCCTTTGCGGTGCTCGCTCTCGCTTTCAGGAATGGAAGCTTGGAAGCCCTGGAATAGAGAGTAGGTGTTGTCGTCCTCCGGGATGTTCTGCAGGTGTTCTTCGGAAATGTATGTGAGGGCTCGATGCGCAATCTCGCTGGTCGACAGCTTTGCCCGCACAAGCTCAGAAGGCGCCTGTTGGGAGAAGGAGAAGACAGCCCTTTGGATGCCAGGCCGCCGCATTTGCCTTGAGAGGCTAGTCATGGCGGTGGGATAGTGAGTCGACGTATTGTCGCCCATGAGGTGGCTCGCAGTGGCCGTCACCTTTCGGCCAAACGCCTCCAGCTGGCGCGTCTATCACCAGCATTAGCACAAGCATCGCAATGACGTGCATTCGCTGGATTCGCTCCACTTACGTCGAGGACTGCGCCGAGTACTGACTCGTCTCCATCTCCGGCTGGTCGTCGTGTCTGCGAGGGAGTGCGACTATGCGGTCGCGACCCGGCCATGCGATTCTAATACAGCGGGTGCGCTCGTCCAGAGGGATAGATTTCGGTTCGCTCGCGTGTTGAAAGTGACGGTGCGTGGTTTCTCGGATGGAAGCAGACTCTGGGGCTTCACAGAACGCAACGTTTGGATAATGCTGCCGTCGGACTTGCGTATGGTGGAGCTCAACCTTCGAAGCACACGAATTTGGGGCAGCTCTTCGGTGACGTATTTTTCAGGCACGCCGCTGTGACTGCGGAAATCATCGCAAGGTGACTCTCCCTTGCTTACCGGAAGAATGCCCTCTCATATAATACTGGCGACTATGACTTGAGGCAGGCTTTCCTGCTTGTCGTTCTATGGGAGAAACTGGGCTGAAATCTTGGACAGCGAGCGGAACAACACTCGAACCAACTTATGCCACTATTAGACATGGATACAGCGATAGACTTGTCGGATGCCTCGAAGGCTTTGGATCTAGCTAATATTCGCTTTCAACTGATGTTGGTCTCATGCGAAGACGAAACCAAGCAGACGCTGACTGGACTTTAGCCGCCTCGAAGACACCATCACCTTTCATCTCATTGAACGAGTCCAGTTTCCCCTCAATGCCACCATCTACGACGCCGGGGCACTTCCCATACCTGCCAGCAACCTTGCTTTACCGGCCAATCTCTCCCTCTGCGACTACCTCTTGTCCGAGACCGAGCGCTTGCACTCGCTTGTTCGCCGATACGATGCGCCCGACGAGTATCCTTTCTTTCCGCAAGTTCTGCAGCGACCCGTGCTCAAGCCCATAGCATACCCGAAGATCCTCCATGACAACGATGTCAACGTCAACCCCGAGATTAAAGACAAATATATCAATGAGGTGCTGCCTGAAGCCTGTCGGAAATTTGGCCGTGCGGACCGTGGTGAGGCAAAGGAGAATTACGGTAGTGCCGCAACTTGCGATGTCGCGTGTCTGCAGGCTTTGAGCCGGCGCATACATTTTGGAAAATTCGTAGCCGAGAGCAAATTCCAGTCCGAGACCGAACGATTCGTCAAGCTCATCAAAGCCGAGGACCGCAAGGGCATCGACGCCGCCATCACCAATGAAAAGGTAGAGCAACAGGTGCTTGAGAGACTGCGATTGAAGGCCAAAACATACGGCAAGGATCCTTCTTTGACGTCGAACGGTGTAGGTGGGGAGGAGAAGATCAACGTTGAGGCTGTGGTCAAAATGTATGCCCAGGTCGTCATTCCGCTGACCAAAGTGGTCGAAGTGGAGTATCTTATGCAGCGACTCAAGGGAACACAGTGGGAGTGATCAGGATGGCTTCAAGTAGTCAGCCACGTTCTGAACCGCATCTTTGAACTTGTCGGCTGCAATCAGCGTGGCATGCCCCTGTGGCTTGATTCCCATTTCTTGAAAGGCCCGTTTCGAGTCCGAGTGCCCGTCATCTTGTTTGATCGAATAATCGAAGCCACCATGGCAAATAGCGTAGCGGTGAAGCACCTCATCCTCGGGATGGAAATACAATGGCTCGGAAGAACCACTACCCGACTTTTTCTTCTTCTTTGGCTGTTCGTCCTCCGCGTCCAGCTTGGACGCCACCTCGGTATATGTCTTAGACAGGATCAGGTAGTGAGAGAAGTTGTAGGGCTCGCCGTCTTGGACAGCCCAGTCCATCTCTTCCAGTAGCATTGTGTACATAGGTGGAACCACCTCGGCGGGCACGTTGATGAGGCGCTCGGTGAGGATGAGGCCAATCGCTGGAACGGTGGGCTGAGAAAGGAGCTCGGCTAGGGCAGCAAGGTTTGGATTGGATTTGGCCTTCGAATGTATATACTGAGCAATCTTGCTCACGAATGGCTTGTCCTTGTGCTGCTGAAGATTCAGAATAGAGAGGAAGGCATATGCGTCGGTTTCGTTGCCATCGACCTTGACAGTCGAGCCAAGGGTAGGCTGCGCGAGGATCACATCCGTCAGGGCGGACAAGTCGAAGAGTTGAGCGTCGACATCGAATAGCTGCTGGAGCAATGTCTTGATACCGTGGAAATCGAACTCGGGTTGAGGATCGAACCACTCGAAGTCAACGTCGAGGACATCGAAATCTTCGTCGTCCCCGCTCTCATCGTCTTGAGGCGCCTGGTTCTTGACCACCTCATCGCCACCGTCCTGCTTTCGTTTACTCATCTTGCAATGACGAGGGTAGCGGAAGTGGCTTGAATCCTGGACCTGGTCAACTTTTTGAATGCGGGGGAATTTCTACAACAATTTTGAGACCCACAAAAAATTCATGGGCGCAACAAGATCTTCTGTCTCGTCCCTTCGTTTCTAACCTCTCTTTGGAGCAATTCTCCCTTCCATTGCACTCCTGACGCCGGTCCAGTGTCGGCAGGAAGGTCAGTCCACACTGTCGTCAATATGGCCGCCACTACCAACGGGGAGGTCAACGGCGCCGCCGCCGTGAATGTCCCCGCGAAGACCTTCGACACCATCCTGGTGCTTGACTTTGGGTAGGCCCGACGTCCTGCTGCCCCATATCTGGCGGGAGCGCTCACGTTCCCAGATCACAGTACTCCCATCTCATCACGCGCCGTCTTCGAGAATTGAATGTCTACTCTGAAATGCTGCCCTGCACTCAAAAGATCGCCGACTTGCACTTTCTCCCCAAAGGCATCATTCTCTCCGGTGGCCCCTACTCTGTCTACGAGGACGGTGCTCCCCACGTGGACCCCGCTGTATTCGAGCTTGGGGTGCCCGTCTTAGGCATCTGCTACGGGCTGCAGGAAATTGCCTGGCATTTTGGCAAGAACGTCGTGGCTGGCGAGAAGAGAGAATATGGCCACGCCTATCTCAAGATTGAGAGACATACAGGCAAGGAGGATCATATCGACCGCCTCTTCGAAGGTATCGAGGACGATGTCGAGGTATGGATGAGCCACGGAGACAAGCTCTCCAGGCTTCCAGAGAACTTTCATCCCATCGCCAGCACCAGCAACTCTCCCTTCGCCGGTATTGCCAGCACGTCCAAGCCATATTTTGGCATTCAGTTCCACCCTGAGGTCACGCACACGCCACGAGGTAAGGAGATTCTGTCGAATTTCGCAGTCAAAATCTGCAAGGCACGACAAGACTGGACCATGGAGAAGTTTGTGGACAAGGAAATCGAACGTATTCGTGCCATGGTCGGGCCAAAGGGCCAGGTGATTGGCGCCGTGAGTGGTGGGGTGGACTCTACCGTGGCGGCGAAGCTCATGCAAGAGGCCATCGGTGATCGCTTTCACGCCGTTCTCGTCGACAACGGCGTCCTTCGCCTGAACGAAGCAGAAACGGTCAAGGAGACTCTCACGAAGCACCTTGGTATTAATCTTACAGTGATCGACGCTTCAGACCTGTTCTTGGGTAAACTCAAAGGCGTCTCAGACCCGGAGACGAAGCGCAAGATCATTGGCAACACATTTATCGAGATCTTCCAGGACAAGGCCAAGAAGATGGCCGAGGAAGCGGCAAATTCTCCAAGAGCTGGAGACATTGAGTGGCTGCTGCAAGGCACGCTATACCCTGATGTTATTGAGAGCATTTCCTTCAAAGGTCCTTCTGCGACGATCAAGACTCATCACAATGTCGGTGGACTGCTCAAGGACATGCACCTCAAGCTAATCGAGCCGTTGAGAGAACTCTTCAAAGATGAGGTGAGAGCACTAGGAACAAACCTGGGTATCCCTGAAGATCTCGTTTGGAGACATCCCTTCCCGGGCCCGGGTCTGGCAATTCGCATTCTAGGCGAAGTCAATGAGTCGCAGCTGAAGATCGCCCGTCATGCTGACAAAATCTTCATCGACGAAATCGTCTCCAGTGGCCTCTACAGGAAGATCTCCCAGGCGTTCGCTGCGCTGCTGCCGGTCAAGGCGGTAGGAGTCATGGGTGACAAGCGTGTGCATGCGCAAGTCATCGCCCTCCGCGCCGTCGAGACCACCGACTTTATGACAGCTGATTGGTTCCCATTTGACGGCGCCTTCTTAAAGAGAGTCAGCAGACGCATTGTTAACGAGGTCGATGGGGTCTGTCGTGTGGTGTACGATGTGACAAGTAAGCCCCCGGGCACTATCGAGATGGAATAGAGTGTTGCGTCTTTGGCAGGGCGGTGTGGCAACTTTTGAGGGTGAGATTCAGAATCTGGATGTTCAAGGAGCGGCACAGGCGGCTGTGGTGTTCAGGTGCATGGAGCGGGCGGTATCTATGGCCGAAGATCTAGACAGTTCAGGCGCGGGCGTCTTGATGATCAGGGGGTGGTGGCCGGGATACACGGTGCGGTGCATACGTGTGGTATTTTGCCATAGACCTATAGAGACCCATGCCTGCAAAGGAACGGGAAAGCGTGCGTTCCATTCTCTCTCTGTGAATCAATACCCACGTTCCGTGTCCATGCAAAGTTGCGGCCATGAGTCGCTCTCTGCTGATGAGCTCCAGCCCCGTACCAGGTATCCCGGATGTCGATTGCGTCTCCCTGAGAGAGGATCTTGGACGGCCAAGCTGGTCACATTTAAACGTCACCTGTGGTGTGTCCACCACTCATCCAGGCGACGATTGACAGATCACCCATGTTCCCCGGCTACCATCAGCACATGAGCACTGGGGGTCTCACCACAAACCTCTGCCTCTCACTCCTGACATATCAATCATGCTGACCACAGTCCACAAAATATCAACTGCTGCTTGTTTGCTACTGTAGTCCGGAGGTTTCGCCACGATGGCCGAGGAGATGACCATGTAACCGGGTGACAGCCTGTCCTTGGCCGTCACGGACACGATTCTTCCAATATATACACCATACATTGGACATGACAACGTCTGTTCTAGCATGAGGCTCGACTGACGACAACTTGTTGGCTCCTTGCGTGATCAGCGATGGCCAATAGGATGTCATCTTCTCGTGTCAGGTTCCCCACTGCGATCATCTGTGGAAGCAAGGCTGCGTCAGAAGAACTACGGAGTACCTTCAGGCATTACTCTCTCTCATGGTCGCCACGCATGGCTGCTGAGGATAGATGCAAGGTGTCTCACTTCTAGTCGAGCCTCACTGGAATCTTGCAGTCGGACCAAGAATGATTGACACAGCGCCCGTGCCACCATGACCATGGCGGAAAATAGTTCAAACTCACGTTATAGCGGACACTCCCGCGATGGGCCCCTCTGGCAGGTGGATACGATGGGAGAGATGGTACCATCGTCCCCGGATTGTGCAATTATGGCTCGAAAGTCGCAATTGTGTATTGAACATGGGGCGGAAAGTATAAAGGGACCACAGGATGGACGGCAAACTGGGCTTTCATATATTCATTACTCCTGTCCTTCGCCCTCCTAGCCGAATCACAGACATTCCGTTGCAGTTTGATCACGAGCACCATGGCTCCGCACGCCGAGGAGGCCGTCTCAACCGACTATTATGCACGACCGGCCGAAGTTACAAAGCCTGTCACTGGGAGAGTCAGCTCAACTAAGGAATTGGCAGCTGAGCCCGTGAAACCCAGACCAAGACTGTCCGAGAGATACGAGCCTGGACGAGTCGAGCCCCTGTCTGACGAGGATGATGCTTACGATCATCTTCGTCCATACTTTCCGGACGTTCATTGGGAGGCATTGAAGGAAACGCCGTACGAGGACAAAGGCCTACTGGGCGATCCGCGATTCCGCAATCTTCTAGATGCTGCTGATGAAGTCTTCGACTATGTGCCGAAGATAGGAACCGAGATTACTGGAATCAGGCTATCGCAACTTACGGATACGCAGAAGAATGATCTAGCTAGGCTCGTTGCCACACGCGGCGTTGTCTTCTTCCGGAATCAGGACGACTTCGATGTTGAGGCACAAAGAGAGCTTGGGAGGTATTTTGGGACGTTGCATAGGCACGCTACAACATCGATGCCTCAAAAAGAAGGTCTCGAAGACGTCCATGTCATCTACACGACGGATCAGTCACTCGATCAACGGGCTCTCTTTACTCCAACATATTTGTGGCATTCAGATGTGAGTGAGGCCGACTTTATCTTTGGAAGCGTGAAATCCTAACCAGGGTCAAGGTCACATACGAGGTCCAACCACCGTCATATACGTCTCTGAAAGTGCTGAACGGTCCGCCACGCGGTGGAGGAGGCGATACACTGTGGTGCTCTCAGTATGCAATCTACGATATCTTGTCGCGGCCCATGCAGAAATATCTCGAGAGTCTTACGGCACTTCATTCGGCGGACGAGCAGGCGGCTGGCTCGCGTGCTGCTGGCCGGCCTGTCCGTCGCGACCCAGTCACTACAGAGCATCCATTGATCCGGGTGAACCCAGTGACGGGCTGGAAGTCGGTCTTCTTCAACCCCGGCTTCGTCACCAAGATTGTCGGCGTACCAAAGGCCGAGAGCGACGCCATCATTCGGTATCTCACTGAGCTTATCGCGACCACCCAGGAAGCACATGTGCGATTCCAGTGGGGCAAACATGATGTTGCAATATGGGACAATCGGTGCACAAATCATACAGCCACATATGGCTTCCTCCCACATAGAAGACACGCGGTTCGTGTCACCCCGACGGCGGAAAAGCCATACTTCTCTCCAGAAGGGAAATCTCAGGAGGAAGAGTACAACAGGAAATGGAATCTGCCGCAAACCAACAAAAATGGGGCGAGAAGGTCAAATTACAATGACTGAGACAGGGAAGCAGAACCACGGATGGTACGGGAGAAATCTTCCTGAGTTCTAGACTTGAAGTTTGCAAGAACAAATCCTGCATTTATTTCTTCCTCGAGGGAGGGAGTTTGGCATGTCTTGTGAGCTTAGGTTGAGTTGAAAGTCAGTTTGGCCTCACCACGACACTTACTCTCAATGCTGTATCCATTTGGTCTCATTATGCTTTCCTTGCTTTAAAATCTCTGACGCTGCAATTTGCTGATACCATGTCTGCGCCCTCTGTTCTCGACTACGCTCGCTCTCATGGCCTGGCTCTTGATCACACCGCCGAGGACCTGTCCAACTCCTTACCATGTCCTCCACTGGTAATGTTTGAAGACGAAGCAGAGCTACCCGAGCCAGATTTCTCTTTGTTTGCCAATGAGCTGTTGGAGCCCAAACTTCAAATCAGCCAGAAGGGAGGTATACTCCTTGCTGAGAGTATCCGGGATCCTCCGGTTGTCATTGACTGGGACCACTTCCTCCCCGATCGTCACCGCGTGCGAAAGCTCAAAATCGAAGAACCTGTGCTCGTGGGAGACCATCAGGCTGATTTCCTTCGATTTCAGAGGGAAACGGCGAGCCACCGGAATGCCGACCAATACTTGGAGACATGTTCACTGATCAGCTCGACCTCCGACCAAGACCTAGAGAAGGAGTGGGACGACATCCAATCTGGCAATGCCGCCCGAAGAGTTGAAAACGAGCTCGCAGACGAGAGATGTCACACCACGAAAGAAGCACTGATACACCTGTCGTGTCTGCTGAAGAACAACCTGACGGACGAAACCAAAGACGAGATAATCAAGGGCTTCTTCCCTTCATGCGAGGTTTGTAGTGATGCTCAGTGTTGTTTGGTCCTCTTTGACAGCAGATAGAAACCACGGGCAAGGTCCGTCACTCCGACGCTTGTGCAGGAGGAACACTCTCCAGAACCGTATGTTCCATCGAGCCCTGACCTTGACTTTCCGCTCCGATCCGACGAGGATGTCGACTTGGACAACCTTCTTCGCCAGGTTGAGAGAGAAATGCAAGAGACAGATCAGATACTCTCGGATAGGGCAAGTGATCCCAGTCCCCAGAAATTGGCGGCTACTAAGCATTTGCTACAGGCCGCTCGAACGCGACCCGATGTGAAGAATATCTACGCCGAGACCATATTCCTGTCTGACGCTGGAACACGCCAAGCAAGAAAGGGGCCTAACAGCTTTGGGTTCGATGTCCCGATTGTTTCATCTTCCTCTCCCATTGAGCGGACTAGCGATGATACGACGATAACATCCCCACTACACTCCACCGATCCGTCGCCGCTATCACAGCAGGAGCAAGGATTCCATGCCAGCAACACTATAGCGCCACTCCCAGCTGACAATCCGGAACGCGATGGCCCTCTGCATCTGTCGTTGACGAGTGGTAAGGCTGAAAGCCCGTATTCAGACTCGCTCGACGGCCTTCTCCCATGCAGTGGTTTCAGGGCTGCAGAGGATGAGTTCGAGGACGTTTTTGATCAGGACCCCCCTAAAGAATTCCTCAGACTTGCGGAGGTGGCCAGGCATGAAGTGGCTGCTATGCTCGAGGAAAACAAGACATTTGCTGCGGAACGCCTTTGGAAGCATCCTGTTCCACAACTTGATGATATCCTGATCCGTGCCCCATGGAGCGACCATCAGGACAACTTCCTTGCTAGCAAACTGGATGAAACGACCTTAGTTCCCTTTGATGAAGCTGATAGCCAGAAGAACGAGCAACTCAACTGGCAGCCAATTCCTTCTCACCTCATGAAGCTTGGCCTGGACGACGAGATCGAAGATAATGGCCAGCTACACAAATGGCTGGAACCTCCGAAAACAGTCACTAAAAGCGAGCAATTGATCTATAAAGAGCCCGGTCTTCGCCTCTTGGATACCGAGGATGAAAGTGACGATGAACTCGAGGAGGACAGCGATCTGCTGACTGAGATGCGCATGCCGCCTCAGGCGACCGTTCCAGCAAAGAGGCTTGAACATGGGTTCGACCCAAAGTTCAACTTGGTAATCAAGAAGACATGCATCCCTCGCGTCGAGGATCTTGATAGACTGCGCCCAGAGAGCAGCTCAACGTCCTCTCTGGGTGGTTTCTCGATTTCCAGCGCCTTGGACACCTTCCTTGATCTCCGAGGAGGTAAATTCAAACGAGTTGCAGTCCCGGAGTCAGCTTCTGGCACCAAGCTTGAGTTGGCAGAAGATCCAATCCAGCAAACACAATCAGACGAAAATGAGTGTGTCGACAGTCGCTGTATATCCGCCTCCAAACGCTTACCTATACCGACTGACTCGACATCGGGCACCGTGAAAGTACAGCCGACTGCCGAGCAAGAAGTCTGTCAGGATGCCACGGAGGACCAGCCACAGCTCATGAAGCTAGATCGGTGTAGAACAGTTGTCATCGAAACAGCCATTCTCCAAAGCTACGCTTCTGTTGTAAATTTCCTAGAGACGTTTGGAGGCGACCGACTCAACATTGTATACCGGGACTTGAACAAGATAGGAAGGGACCATTGTGTTTCGGCAGCGCCTGACATGATCCTGAATCCGACGACAGCTCTCATCTTGACCAATCTGCAAGCACTGAGTCAGAAAGGTTTGCCTGGGCAGGCTGCCGCAGGGCAGAATACGGTGCGAAGCCGGGTGCGCAACCTTGTAAAAGAATATCACCGTGTGCTTGTAGCGATCACGACTCCGAACCCAAACCCGGATGGTGCATCGCTTCAGGCCCAGGTCGACGCAATGGCCACGTTTACAGGATTTTGTGCGAGCCTCTGCGGCGAGGACACTCTTGCCGTGACTCCATTGTGGGTGATTCCAAGACCAGCTGCACGGACGATCGACGAAGCGCTCAACAAGATGTTGTGGAACTTGATATGCCGATATGCGTTCCCGGAAACTGATCCAACAATGGGTGCACAACATGTGGTCGACGCAGTAGCCCTGACTAATGAAGAGTCGCCCTGGGAGCAATTCCTGAGAAGAGCAGGACTCAATCCCATGGCCGCTCAGGTTGTGCTGGAATCCTTGAGAAGGCAAGGCACGTCAGAAGGCGAGCATGCCCGAGGCTGGAGTCTGAGGGAGCTCGTTCAAATGCTGCCCGAGGAGAGGCGAGCTATGCTCACCGAAACTCTAGGATCGAAGATGACTGAGAGGCTCGACCTGGTGCTCGACAGGGAGTGGCGATGAGCTGAGGCCGTATAGTGATGATTCTGAGGGCGACACTAGACCAACAGGAGGGGAATGGTTGTTGCTGGGTACCGGCTGCACGGAAGAACTACACGATCCACTCACGGGGTCATTCGAACTCTGAAGCCGCAGCCACTGTAGAATTGGCTGGTCGTTTCTTGGACGCCGCAGCTGCAGTACGGTCTGAGATTCGTGATACTCGTTAGCAGCATTCTCCCGTCGACCGACCCTTTCTGTGTACGGTGTTGCATGAGCGTTAATCCACAAAGCATAAATCAACTGCTGCTGCTGGTGGTTGATAGGTCATGGCGGACCAATACCTCTCGTGGGTGGCGTTGCAGCGAGATACCATAATTCGGCCCTAGTCGTTTACTGTAGGAGCCAGGGGCATTCTAGGTACACCAGGGTAGATGCTGACGTTGAGGATGAGGACAATAGATGCAGCTGGGAGGAGTGACGAGTGATGCTCCGTGAATAATACGCCCGAAGACTGAGCTAGGCTTCATTCGGAACGCAGTCAACACCACGTCACATCACATCACATGGCATGCTTCCGACGCTCCGCTTCGGCGTCTGTGTGTTACCTTTCTCCTTTCTATCACGTACAGTATCCTCTGGTCACCAACACCAGCGGCATCGACGTCGTCACCGACCGTCTGTCGGTCCATGCAGCACCCGAAAATGGTGACTCGGCAGTACATATAGTAGCACACACACCCCATCCTGGTCAGATCCATCATTAGACCATGGATGCACATTGCGAAGATCTCGCCCATGTCAGCTATACGAACTTTGCGCTCTCACTGTTCGTCCATCCGTCCCTGCGCTCGCTTGCGCTGCGTACCCATTCTGTCATCATGGGTCTATAGCTAATGTTTTTCTGGCCACACCACGACAGCCTCATCCTCGTTGGCATCCTCGTCTCCTACCTCCCGCAGCACGTGCGGATCATCCGCCTGCGCTCCTCGTACGGCCTCTCACCCTACTTCGTCCTGCTAGGCACCACGAGCGGAACATGCGCCTTTGCGAATATCCTGGTGCTGCCGCGCTCGAGGGCAGACATCGCGTGCTGTCGGCAGGTCGATGAGTTCGCATGTGTAGCGGGCCTGCTGGGCATCGCGCAGGTCGGCGTACAGTGGTCGTGCTTTGGAGTCATGTGAGTCTGAACAAGCATCACCATCACCATCGCCATCGCCATGTCTTGCCTGCATGGAATGGCGGCGAGGGGCCCGTGAGGGCAGTGTGGCAGCGAACCTAGTGAGCCCGTGCTGACGCGGGACATATACAAACAACCAACAGCCTCCTCTTGTTTCTCATCTTCTTCCCCCGCGGCGAAGTGGCACACTCTGCGCTCCTCGACGACGCCGCCGCCGCCGCCGGGGATGACAACGACACGCCTGTGCCCGCACCCGTACCAGACCCACTCGTCGGCCACGGTCTCGCAAAGCCAAAACCCTCGAACCCCGATTCCGACTACGACTCGGACGCCCTCGCGCCGTCGTACCGCACGGCGCTCGTCGTCGTGGCCGTGTGCGTCCTGCACGCCGCCCTGACCGCGATCCTCAGCTTCTTCTTCATCTACGCGGCGCCGCAACACGCGCAGTCGTGGGCCAACTTCCTGGGCGTGCTCTCCACGGCGCTCGCCAGCGTCCAGTACTTCCCGCAGATCTACACGACGTACCGGCTGAAGCGGGTCGGCAGCCTCAGCATCCCCATGATGTGCATCCAGACGCCCGGCAGTTTCGTGTGGGCGGGATCCCTCGCCGCAAGGCTGGGCCCCGAGGGCTGGTCCGCTTGGGGCGTCTACCTTGTGACCGGCTGTTTGCAGGGCTGTCTGCTCGGCATGGGCAGTTACTTCGAAATCACCCGCCGGCGGAGGGAGAAGGAAGAATTGAAGAGACGTATCGAGTATAATACGAGTGTGGAGGCGCTGGTAGAACCTGTTGAAGAAGAGCAGGACGAGGATCAGGACCAGGACCAGGACCAGGACGCCTCAGAGCATACGCCGCTGCTTCGTAGAGCTGATTGAGGGCCACTTAGATATGGCAGGCTGCGACAATCGCGGATCCCGGTCCCGCTTGAAAACGTGGATTACGTCGAAATCTCCATGCTATGTGCCTGTGTCTGTTTGTGCTTGTGCTTGCGCGCTTGCCTGCCTGGCTCGCTCTCTGCCCACTTGTTTTGCTTTTCTAAATGCAGAAACACACATTTCTAGGGTCTTCCCTCACAGACTCATCTTGGGAAGATACATGGACGCCGGCTCCTCGGCTGCATGCCTCTTGCCGTCCGCCAGCGCGGTCATCTCTTCCAGCTCTTTATCCGTCGTCCCGTCGACCGCGGACTGGCCGTTCTCCGAGACATAGCGCGCGTCACTGACTTCAATCCCATACTTTTCATAGTCGAACACTTCCAGCGTGGGCAGCAACTCGCCCCATCCGTCCATGATCTCGCCGGGCTGGCCCGGACTGCCCGCCAGCGGGATGCCCTCGGTATGATCTAAATCGTCCTCCTTGTGCTCGCCCGTCCTGCCTGCCAGCACGTCCTCCTCCCGCCCGGCGTACACCTCCAACAGACCCGGGTGCGGCACCCACACGACGCGCATGCCGGCCCGCCGCGCGGCCTCCACGCCAGGCACGCTGTCCTCGAAGACGAGACATTCCTCGGGCGCGATCGGCCTCTCGCCCTCCCCTTCCGCGGCCACCGTCTCGTTCACGTTCTGCAGCGCGAGGAGATAAATGTCCGGCAACGGCTTGCCCCTGCCCCTGGGTATGCGGGGGTCGTCGCCCACAATGATATGCCGCGGCGGGAACGTGGCGAACAGCTCCGTCATCCCGGCCGTCTTGATCTCGTAGTTCCTGCGGTGCGAGCTCGTCGCCAACGCGACGTGCACTTTCCGCCCTCCTCGGCCGGGGGACAGTCCGCCCGTCGTCGAGCTCTTCGTGTGTGCGCTCTTCAGTTTGCCCAGGAGCGACTCCACGCCCGGTAAGGGCTTGCAGTGCCGGAACTCCTCGGCCTGGAGCTCTGCTTGGCGCTTGAGGAACTCGTCGCGCGAGATGGGCAGCTTGGCCCATTGGTGGAAAATCTTGCCCGCCGCGGGGCCCGGTCGGCCTTGCAGCTGCGCTTTGATCGACCAGGGCAGGTCGGGACGGTTGTTCTCGCGCAGGATGGTGTTGGTGACGCGCGTGTAGGCGTCTTCGCTGTCGATGAGGAGGCCGTCCATGTCGAAGATGCACGCCCGCACGGGAGGGAAGCTATGTCGGCGGGGATTGTATGTTAGATGATAGCGGACGACGAGCATACACCTGTGGTACTCACTTGGTGCTTTGGACGGGGATCCCGTCTGCTTGGGCCATGGTGTGAAAACTGGGTGTGACGATAGAAGTAGCGTACTCGTACGGAGCACAGTGAGTGGACTTAGGGTGCTTAGTGGGCGGTATCGAAAGACCCAGTGTGGTTGTGAGTGTGTGACACCCGGCGTGGAGAAAATATACCTGTACCGACAGAGCGAGTTCTGGAGCTCCAGGTGAGCAGGTTGAGAAGACAGAGGCAGATCAAGTTATCATCAAATGTGCCTGCATGGTGGTCATTCCGGGAGCGTTACGAGAAATTCCACCCTCTTCACTGGCTGCTGCAACCCTGCATGAACCACGTTGCTACCCGGGCGCCGTAATGTTACTCGTACGAGTCACCACGGACCAAAATCCTGGTTTGTTTCGTCTGCTGGATCTCGTGAACCCAAAATCCATGGCGGGGCACGAGTCGATCGTCGGGATTTTAGCCGAGCCGAACACGAGGCCACGACGTCCCATTCTCGGGTACTCGTACCACTAACTCGTACGAGTACAGCGCGTTGAGTTCAGCCTCGCCCGTGCCCATTCACCTCAGCCTCGTACTCCGCTTTGGACTCACCAGCGAGCTGAATTTGATAACTGCGCGAGGACCCTCACACAACGAGCCGTCGCTCGGGTGCACAACCATGTCGTTCAAGGCCGACGGTCCCAAAACTCGTCCCGAGCGTGTCAAACGACGTGCCGACCCAACACCAACACCACCAACTTGGTCAACACAAGCCCCGTCTCGACGCTCCTCGACTTCCTCAACCTCCTCGACCACGTCATTCCACTCGGCCGTCTCGGGCCGGTTCTCGCCCACCTCTGAGACGCGCATGGTGTCTGCGTCCAATGGGTTGAAAGCACAGGCAAACGCGCTGTTCGCCCGCGCCGAGTACGTCTCGGCCATTTCGACCTACGACCGTGCAATGGCCGAGTTGCCCCGCTATCTGGACTACGAGATGGCTGTACTACAGAGCAACATCGCGGCATGCCATTTGAAACTCGAGCAGTGGAAGGACGCCGTCGAAGCGTGTGAGGCGGGGTTGGAAGGTTTGGAGCGCGAGATGCCGACAAAGACGAGCGAGACAAAGGCAAAGACAAAGACAAAGAAGGACGGAAACGAGAAGCGGACCAAAAACCGAGGCGAGAAGATCGATTCAGACACGGAATCGGACGCGGAGTCGGAATCGGGTATAGATGCAGACTTGGGATCGAGCCAGCAAAACAGGGACGAAAGGGTCGTCGAACTGCCCTCATCGCTCGGAGAAGAGGACGTGGCCAAAACCCTCGCCGCGCTGTCTCTTTCGGATGCCCGTCGTGCGGATATCACGAGGATCCGCGTGAAACTGCTGCTCCGCCGTGCACGCTCGAGGAGTAGTATGCCGGCGGTGTCTACGTTTGCCTCGTTCGGCTCTAACGATACTCCTTCCCATTCGGATCCGATCTCATCAAAGACATCCAACGGCACATCCTCGACGTGGTCGACTCTTTCGGCCGCTCTGGAAGATTACACTCGCTTGCGTGACACACCCGCATACTGGGCCGCGCTGCCGCCCAGTGATCGCAAAACCGTGCAGCTTGCGCTGGTTGAATTGCCGCCCCGGATCGAGGCCGCGAAACAGCGCGAAGTAAGTGAGATGATGGGCAAGCTGAAGGATCTGGGGAATACGGTCCTCAAGCCGTTTGGGTTGAGCACGGATATGTTCAAGGTGAGTCAGGGAGACGGAGGGGGATATAGCTTGAGTTTTGACGGTGGCGGGAAGGGATAGTCGGCGTGAAACAGCATAGCATAGCGGGGCATAGATCAGCGCAGGATAATAGTGGCAATGAGGGAACGAGAGTGAGAGTGAGGATTGAGTGTGAGAATACCAAAATTATAATCATAATAATCATATCGGTGACGGTTGGTGGAGTCAAGTGCAGTTCACCGAGACAAGAAGAGAAGGAGAGTGAAAGAGCGTGAAGTACGGAGTACTCGTAGAGGGAAGCGAACTGGAAGTGAAAGTGAACGAATATCCCATCACTTCTCACTCACGACTCACATTCGCCCACTCTATCCATGAATCCGCATGCACTCATACATGCATCGGTCATCACATGAGGTATATGTCTGGAGCATATTGTGAAGTTCGAAACCCCAGGATCCGACAGATGTGATTATCATGACTGTTTCGTCAGCCCGCAGTTGGGTGGCAGTCCATGTACACCTGGGATGGCAGTGAGCGTAATGCGATGGTTTGACTGCAGTACCTAATTAGATATGGCCCAGTAGCAGCTGGTCAGAATGTGGTGTCACAGTATATGCCTTCCCTCGTGGTAATTAGCCACTGAGAACCCGGGACGGAGACATTAGGTAGGTACTGTCTACTGTCTGGTTGGCACTGTCACGTCAATGTAGTTCATTTCACAACAGCTAGGTACCTAGGTAGTCACCGTGAGTATTCGTTGGCCTTACTCTGGGTGTGAGTATTGATGTCATAGGCAGTTCCTGTAACAGGTCGTGAAATCTGTGCTGCTAGTATGCCCACAGCCACATCTCGAGCACGGCGCGAGATCGCGTCCCAGAGTAGCAAGTACTGTCTGTATGTTACTGTCACACCTAGGTACCAGGTACCTACGCAGAGGTCTTGGAAGACTGGACGCATTTCACAATTTCATCTGAATCATTGTCATTGGGAAACTAAGTATCCTGCTGAGCATGCATGCTATCCTGAAAGACTCGAGCTTTAAACCTTGTCTCTCAGCTCATGAATTGCCATTCCGCTGCCTCCAGCGCTGTGCTGCTTGCGCAATGCTGATGCCGATGCTGACTTGACTTGGAAAAAGTACAATTGTGCCCTGCCTGGGTATGGGGGTATCTCTGTGGGTCGTTTCGTGTCTCATTTACACATTTGCCTCCAACCTGACTCCCGTGCATGATGACCTCAACCCACTGTGTACCCGAACTCCGATGGTTGAAAACAGCAAGAGAAAGGAAAAGAAAAAGGAGGAAATAATAAACACAGTCTGGGGTCGCCGCCCCTCGAATGGAATTGTTTGTACATATGAAACGAAAGGAAAGTTTGGTGAATATCCATGCGAGGCATGCCTGCATGCGTGGTGGAAACAATTCTCTGGTGTACAAGGCATTGCCAGTAATGCGGATCGAGTCCTGACGTCTGTGCCGGGACAGTGATGATGTTGTGAAGAGGACAGTGATGATGTTGTGAAGAGGACATTGCTCAGTGACGTGAGAGAAAAGAGGTGGTGAAAGTGATTTTCTGAATGGCAGTGCATGCTGAGATGTTCACATATGAGATGGTTCCTGACGATCTGTCTCAAAAGGCGCATCTTCATAATTCTCGGCAGCAGCAACATTGCTGGCATTCTGTTCCTCTGCGCGTTGGAGAAATTCTTCGATATTGGCGTGTGCGTACTCTTGGTGTGATTCAAAGCCATCGTCTTGGGTATGTGTCTCTGACGAAGTGTGACAGGTTTCGCCGAGATCGGATTCTTGGTAGCTGTCTCCAGGCCACTGAGGTTGTTCCTGATCGATGGTGTTCAAAGGAGACGTGATGGTGGATGCGCTAGAGTTGTAGCTCGAATTCATGGTGCGGGTGTCTTGTTCGGGTTGTGCAAGCCAGCCGATAGCCATCTGATCACTCGGCGTGGACGGGTCGGGGTATTGGCTGGATGTTCGTGACGGAGAGCGAGTGGTTGAAGAGGAAGAGGTAGGTTGAGATGGATAAGGTCGCATGATTGGTCGACCGGCGTATCCTTGAGTGCGCATCTGTGAGAGTGGTTGCATGCTGTATTGGCTCGATGGCATGTACGCAGAGGGGGAATAGTTGTTTGTGTATGTGGGAGATTGGTTATTGGCCATTGCGCGAGGTAGCATGATGTCTCCGTTTGGCGTTGGCGTGCTGCGGTACGGACTGTTAGACATTCGCATACCGCTCTGCTGGAGATGCTGTCTGCCATACCCAGTCTGAACTGGCGGCGCCATTCTCCCCGGTGGCGGAGCGGACTCGGCCTGCTGGGAGGAAAAGCGCGGTCGTGGTGGTGTGTACACGGACGTCTGTGCAGTGCTGGTCGCAGGCAACGCATGCTGACGTCGCGGTTGTGATGGCACCAAAGCAGACTGTGACTCGGTCTTTGCAACTTCAGTCTTTGGTTTCTTGCTTCGGCCTTGCTGTTCGTCTCCTGCGACGGCCTCTTTGCCTCTCTTCATCACAACTGCCTTCTGTCCGTTGAGCTTGCGGTTCGAGTCGATTCGCTCAACATTGGTCTGTGGGTCGTCGATGACCTTGAACAGATATGGAACATCGTACATGTGCTTGCACATGCTCTTACTGCGCGCCATGGCATTCACAATCGCATCAAACCGCTGCTCGAAGTCCTTGTCCATGAATTTCTTGAATTTGTATTTGTCTGGTTCGTACGTCTCCACCAAGTTCGATAAGACCTGCGAGCGCTGGATGCAGCGTCGAAGAATCTCCCAGCACAGGCACTCGACCATGACATTGTCATGAATGTGGTTGGTGAAGGGCTTCTTGATATTTTCACCTTCTAAGCACTCTGCAGGCACGCACTTGAATGCCTGGAAAAGGACTTTGACGTGTGCTTTCTTCTCAGCCGCGGTCTGAGGGATCGTGAAGTCCGGCTGGGGCTTCATGGGCAGCAGCCGCTCGCGGTACTTCTCGGCCTCGAGCTCACTATCGAAATAGGTGATTGTGTCTCGATTGTCATCGAGCATCAAGACCGCCGAAGCGGCGAGGTCGCTGAGGTGAAGATTGAGGAATGGTGTCACTCCTCGCTGAGCTTTCCCCAGCTGCTCGTGGTCCAAGCGGACCAGGTCGGCCTTCTGCTGCGCATTGGCCGCGGCGACAAGCTCTGGGCAGGTCGAAGGGTTGTGGCCCTGCACCTGCTGGGCGGACGCCATGCTGGCGGCGAAGAAGAAAATAAAGTTGTTGTTGGTCTTTGAAGTTGGTCAGTCACAGAGAAAGTGAGATGAAGGGCGGGAGAGAAAGATTGAAAGTACCTAGTGACCAGCGCCAAGGGCGAATTTTTATATATTGGGGAGAAGGAGGCATTGACTGCTTGAGATGAGGGTGTGGCAGTACCGACTCCTGCCTCACCGATTAACAGCTGACAGTGAAACAAAGAGTGACTGCTCATGCCTCTTCAATTTTCGGCCTGACAGTGACAACACTTACTTCACGCATGTGATGCTCGAGGCGGGCCGGCGACAGCCCAGACCCCTCTCATGTGTTGAGGGGCTTCGAGTGTCGCAAGAGAATGCGTTCTGTTTCGTTTCAAGCATAGCAGATGCGGTGTGAGACTGTCGGTCTGGGTGGGCGGTATCCGTCATGATTGTTTCGAACTTGCGTCTCTGGGGCTCAGCTGCTTCGTCGCCGCAGAAGAGGATGAGGAACCGCTCAAGCCAGACGTCGAGCTCTGGATCAGCCACGGGGATTAGGCTTCATTCTGTCGAAGTCATCAGCACTGTGGCTTGGTCAGTACATGGCAGTACGAGTGGAGATGCGCTTACCTTTACCGAAGCGAGACTCCACAATTCGCTCGAAGATCGAGGCTCAAAGGAATGAGGTGATGTTGCCAACAGGTTGGAGCTCCTCTCAAGGCCTCGAGGCTCTGTGCTGAAGAGGTTCCTTCAAACGTACAGAGCCTCGAGGCCTTCAGAGGCTTGTGGTAAGTCTTTGTTGAACTGATGTGAGTCTCTCTTTGTGAGTATGGTGAGGGGATGAAGACAAAGGCGCTGGAAGAGAAACAAAGAGGGGGAAGAAGGAGAGATTTATAGGCCTGTGATCGTGGGCCAAGACTGCGCGGCCACGGCGTCGACTAAGCGGATCCTTGAAGATATGAATGGTAAGTACACTCGCGGCCGGCGACGACATCATTGAGAGCAGGTGACAGCCAGAGGACGACCGCGGGCGGGTGAAGACCGCGACAACAAGGTAAGGACCGTCATTCCAGCCAGATTACCTATGCCGGGACAGTTCTCTCGTCGAACGCACGTCGACAGCCACGTCCGCAGCTGTATACAGAGGACCGGCGGTGCACGATATTGTGATCTGATCATTGTCGTTTCGACGCTCGAGTGGTATGCGTTTGGTGTAAGACATCGACAAAGCCCTCAAGAGACACGCTGTGCAGGCTATGTGCACTGTGCACTAGACGCTCGACAACGTTGCCCGACGCTGATGAGCTTCATTGAATTAGTGTACAAGGTTAAGGGGAGAACCAAGACATGGTCATGAATCAAGGATGACAGGAAGCCGGTCATAGCACAAATAGGACATCCAGGCAGCTGGCCTTCACAGATTCCAAATTCAAGAACCGACAACTGAACATTGAAGATGGATCAGAGGGACAGAAGCACATATGCGTACATCACGACTTCTTACAAGAAGAATGAGACGTTTAGACGACGACGAGGACGACGTTGTGCTAAAGCCACCAATGCATTTAAGCTTAAATTAGCCAATCGATGAATGGCTGGCGGCTCGACGATGATCCACCTCCGAGATACTAATGCACTTCGATACCGGGGACTGATACTTGGGGTTTGCAAGGTCCACACCGATACAATCTATGACATGTTGTGGTGTCGGGAAGGCATTCGAAGGGGAATGCCACATATCACACCATCTGCGATGGTGAACGCCAGGTATTCCACATCGAATCGGTGTGAAGGACTGGTCGAACTAAGGCTGCAGGTATCGCATGGTAGAAGCAAACTTTCAAAGTCACGTTGATCGAGAACACTCGAGACATCCGAATCACCGGATCATAACGTCCATATTTTCAGACTATAATCAGGTATTAGCTGCTGAAAGCTCTCTTCATCATCCGGCGCAATCAGATGGCGTTGACCAGATGAGGTGGCAACCACGCCCCCACAGGGATGCACAACCACACTCGAGATCGCATCTTTGGACGATATTAGCACAGACTCGGATCATGAACAAGAGAAATCGCTCACCATCGTGACCCTTGAACTCGAGCGTGGGGGCAACGGCGCCCTCGTGTTGGTGAGGATCCTTCCACATCCTAAAGAGGCCGTCAAGCCCACCAGCCCAAATCTCATGGCCTCCTTGATCATCCGTGGCCACAGCATCAAAACCCACCCTTTGATTTGTTTGCGCATTCCGACCTCGAAGCCATGACAGAAGCTGTCCTGTTTTGCGGATATCATAGAGCATGACCCCGTCGTTTTTTCTCTCTGCGATGTACAAGTACCTTCCGCATGGGCTCCATGAAACCTGCGTTACTCCACTCCCACCAATCTGCTCGTCGGCAGATGTTCCCTTGACTGAGAATGCACCAATGCAACTGCCTTGTCCCAAAGCGTCGTAGAGAGCGACGTAACGGCTGTACGTTCCCGCGGCTAAGAGATCGCTGGACGCATCCACAGACAAGGCAGATACAATTCCTCTCATTGTCGTGGCATCACTGTAGTTAGTCCCCTTCCTCTTTGGGCCGGTGGGCATCGAGGACATGGGCCCCTCCCCTGGGCGAGACGAGTCGAAAATGGAGATCAAAGATTCTGAGCCGGCAGCGAAGCGGTCGCCTGACCTGCTAAAGAGAAGCGAATGCGGACTGATAAATTCCTCGGTCATGGGATTGACCACGGGATAGGAGGCGACAAGATGGCCAGTCAGTGCCGACGTCAATCGGACTGGGTGGTCTCTTGTTGACGATAGAACCAAGGCGGTAGGTGTGTCTTGCAGGCTGAAGAGCGGATATCCCACCACAGCGTTGACTGACTCGCTTGATTGAATGGTACAGTAGGGCGAGAGAAGACGTAACTTGGGTGTTTCTTCGAGGAGATCGGGTGGCCTTTCACAATATCAGAAGACTGCACATGGGTACGAGAGGTGGTACCTACACGATGTATGTCTGGATCGAATTATCGGAAAGACTGGCGATAAGGGATGTTCCATCTGCGCTCCTGCCACAGCGTCAGGGAGTCGAACTTACGAGCTTCGGAGCACATATGCCTACCATTGCACATTTCTGAAGAACGCTCTCTCACTGGAAGGGGCTTGGGTGGGAGATTCGGCTGGATTCAAGGAAGTAGCCACGCATTTTGGCTGAGACGTGGTCATGAACCCTTCAGCCATGTTGGCTTTGGGTACTACCTAGTATGTTGGATTATCGACGCGGTTTGCAAGGATTCAAGCATGTTGAAGAGCGGCCTGTTACAAGTAATGCAAGAGGGACAGAACAGGAGCTGATCCAATTCCAAATATTGTTTCACATTTACAGCTGATTATCAACGACCCGGTATCCTTTCAAATCCACAATGAAATGTGCAGACAAACAGGAGGCGCTTGAGCTTTGATTGACTGTGTTTAACGAACAAATAGACTTACGGCTTCTTTGCACCGCCGTAATTCGCACATACGACGCGTCATATAGTCCCAAGCCGCAAATATCCGTTGCGCGCATCGCGTCGGCCAGCACCAGGAATTCCAGCAACACAGCAATTTTCAATTCCGACCCTCCAAACACTACCATCACTCTGCCGTTGTGATGTCGCTCTTCGGTGCTTCCACATCGAGGCCTACTCTAGGTCTGAATCTGGGCACCAGTCAACCTGCGCCGGGCTCTACAGCGTTGTAAGTACTCCATTGCATACTCCAGGACCCTCTCTGTAGGTCAAGATGCTAATGGACCCGAAGCAATGCGAGCCAGACGACACAACAGCAACAACAACCGGTAGGGGCCAACACCTCTACGATAGGGTCTCAAGCACAGATAGACATCGCCCACTTGCGCTCGACGACGAAATTCGACCACCTCACCCCCGACCTACAACGAGAAATCGAAGCCGTTGACACGCTCATCCTCAATCAGACAAAACTCGCTTCAGAAGTGGCAGATCTGCTTCCCACTGTCGTCGCCGCCGGAGAGACATTACCCAGTGGAGTCGATTTTGTGACCCAGAAGTTGGACGAGCTGGAAGCTGGGCTAGGAAACGACGCAGAGGCGATCGTCGCAGTGCGGGATGGCGATGTCAAGAAAAACGAGCTGGAGGCGAAGTGTGTATTTCGCGCCATTGACAGGCTGAAGATGCCACGTCAGTATCAACAGGTTGTACACACACCCAACGACAATTTGAATGGCAGCAGTGTCTATGGAGGAACAGGTCTCAGCGGTTGGTGGAATAACCCGCAGACGTTAAGAGGAAGTGTGCGCGGCGTGCATGCGCAAGGCGACAAGATCCAACTGCCTGGTGAGGAGACTGAGGACGTGCAGGGTCCTAAGAGTCTGATTGATCTCTTCAATAATCGGGCCGACGAAATGCAAGATGCTATCAAGGGTAACCGACAGCTGCTGAGCCAGATTGAGGATTTCGTGCAAGGCTTAGAAGGGAAGGTGGTTGGCAAAGAGAGGGAATTGAACGATCGACTCACCTACGGCGACCGGAATGGCGCTGCTTTCAGTGAACGAGATCATCAACTTCAGCTTCTGCGATATGTGTTTGGGGAAGTTCAGCGGAGTCTTTACGATGTCGCCGACAAAGTGGGGGCCACAAGAGATGAGGTTGCACAACTGACCATTGGAAGATGATGGCTAGGGAGATGTTAACATATCAGCGAAGGTGACGTGGCCTGATGAACGACGGCCATCATCCACAAGGCGGAATCAACACCTCGTCAGCATTGATATTGTTGCGGCTCACCTTGCAAGTGTCCAGTTGCGATTCTGGCCGTGGATCACATGGCGATGGCTCGTGGCCAAGCAACGTTTACAAACGACAAAATTTTGATTCCTGGACACAGATCTCTCAACCAGCGTCGTTCAAGCCGTCTGCCAACACAGGGCAGCTAAGGTGGCGAGCTTCAGATGCTCATGAGCATCTTAGGGTCAACTCTGCGTATGAAGCCGCGTCCAGAGAGCGCTACGAGAGGGGAGTTTCTTCGGGATCATGGGTTCTGAGAAGACGCAGGCGAACAGTCGAGTATTCCCAGCCCTGCTTTGTTCGACGAAAGGCGTGGCCATGATCTTCGCAAAAGAGGTTGAAGACACCCGGAGTCGGGACAGCGGTCGCAGACCGGCAAGACTGTTGATGAGAGTTGCCTTTCCAGGCTACGAGGTATACACTCTCGGAACACAAAACCCTCAAAGCATGCAACTTTACCTTGTCGTTGCTCTGCCGTCGATGGTCCAGCACCGTGGACGAGCACATGCCATTTTACCCTATATAGCTTCCGCCAGCCTCCAAATCCTCTAGTCAGGCACCAACGTCGCCTCAGGGGCAAACAAGGAGATCTTGAAAGCCCAAGTAGATCGCACCGGGGCATCTTCCTCCTCGGGTCAAACTCTGGTTTCATGGTGGAGTCGCTTTCTGACCTTATGACTTCATTCCCAACTCTGATGTCATGCGTGGAATGTTTGAACCACATCATCCACGAGTATTTACCCCTTCACCATTACCTGTCACTGCTCACTTCTACTCGCACAATTCAAATACTGCATTAAATACCGAGTTGTGGCATATCACCAACACCTCTAAACAAAAAGGATACACAGCCACTGTCAAACCCGTTACCTACCAAGTCTATCCTCTCTCACTCACCCCTCAATACAACTTAACTCGTCCAACGACATCACCATGTCCGGGACCTCCAGCGTCGGCAACCGCAACGTTTACGAGGCAGGTGACCAGCGCACCGAACCGGCCTCGAAGCCGGGTGGTTCGTTCGGCGAGGAAGGCACGAAGAACTCGCACCAGGCGAACGATTCGAGTAAGTGACGGTTTTCCTTTTGCTCAAGGTTTTTTGGCTTTTGTGGAAATTCTGAAGTCGTGGTCCGAGATGAATGCTGCTCGTCAGTTAATCCGTCGTGTGGTGGTGGTGGTGGTGGTGGTGGTGGTGGTGGTGTTTGCTTTCAAACGACTGTCTAGCTGCGGCCACGATGAGATCGAAGTCTCGCGGAACCAACGCACCACCGACGGAGTGGGAGACAAATATGGTCGCAACAAGGCATCATGTCCGGCCAATAAAGGTCACGCAGACGGCACATTGAACCGTCCTTCGGCTGAAACTGCAAATGGTTGGACGTGAGGGTCATTTTACGTCACTTACCTACCACCACTGCCATCACTACCCACACGCTACACATTTGTCCAACATCCCAACTCATGCCTCTAACCAGCTGACAACTCCTGTCCGACTTATAGAAGACGAACGCTCCATCGCCAACCGACTCGCGACCGCGGAACCGCAAAACGACGGCACCTCAGGCAAAGCGCTCGACGCTGAAGCCAAAGCCGGCCAAACCGACGCGACCGCCCCGGCCAAGATGCACGGCAACGAGCCCTCACGCGGGGCCCAGATCGACAAGGAACTGCAGGACGAAGAAGCCGCAATCCTTGCCAAGAAGGATGCCGCCAAGGGGAGCAAGAAGCCCGGCGGGACGGGCGACGTGAGCGGGAAGAAGAACTGAGGGTTGGTGCGCGTTGCAGAGTTTAAGAGGCTAAACCCGCGCGGGTGGAAAGGCATATATGATCGAATCCACGCGAGGTGACGCGTAGCGTAGGCAGGCTGAGATCCTTCCTGAGGCTTTTGTTGAGAAGCTAGAGACCATCAAGGCAAGGGAAGGGCAAAACCTCAAGTGATGGCGAGGAAATCCATCCATCCATGCCATACTCGTCACTCCAGGTATGCAGATAGCACGGCAATGCATGAATGAAGCCTTTCGTATGCTTAGCTAAACTCACTGACGTTGACCTAAGTTCTGTGTCTGGCATGGGGACAGCCACGCCCATAAGTGGCAAGAATCCGTTGTTCATCCTTACGCTGATTCAGGTGTAGGGAAGCTGATGGGGTGCGTGCGGTGTGCGGTGTTTGCTGGTGTACTGTAACATTGAAGTCGCTCCCCCCTGACTTGGGGCTCATGTCCTGTGTACAATATTGCTATAGGGCATACGCGGAAAATGAAACATCATGATCTGTGCCTTTCTCTTTCTTGCCTCTCCAGTTCCCGTTTCACGAGCCTGATACACTCGTCGCTAACATCGCCGCCGACCCTCCACGACCGGAGCACCACTTTCCTCGCCCGCATGATTTCCTCGGCTCGCGCCCACCGTCTCCGCCAGATTTCGATCTTCTTGTCGTACGGGGCGCCTTCGGTGGCTGCACTAGGGGCGCCTAGCTGGCCCGTCCCGCCTCCAGGTAAAGAGTAGGTGTCGGCGCCGGTGGCCCAGCGGGCCGCAGCAGCGGGATAGGAGGTGAGGTTCCGCCGCATGGGGAGGGGTGGATTTGGTCGGTGGTCTGAGGACAAGGAGCTGGAGTTGGAAGAGCTCGTGAAGGTAGTACCCGAAGGTGACTGTGAGCGGATGGCAGGGAGGGCGTTGTATGCGGAGGAGATTTGGCGGCGGGCTGACGCCACGTAGCCTTCGTCATTGTGCGAAGACGATGTACTTCCAGATGTAGCGGTGCGCGAAAGAGCTGGAGGCGGTGCCTGATTCTGACGAGCAGACGAGAAAGGCGGTCTTGACAGAGGCGGCGGCGTAGACTCTGCGTTGTCGGGACCCATGCTTTCAGGTGTTCGCCCGCTCCGACGAGGGGCAGGTGGTGGAGGAGGGGGAGTTTTCTTCTTTACGGCCTCTTGGGCATCGGTGTCTGACGACGCTGATAATCTCTCGTTGTTTGCAGTTGGTGTCGGTAACTGAGTTGAAAAGTTCCGCAGACTTGACGGTTTCTTGGGCTTCGCTGGCGGCCCGTTCGATTTGCCGTTTGCTTCGAGCTTCTGCATGTCGTCCGAGTAGGTCGAGGGTTTTGGTGAACTCGGTTTCGCAACTGGATCGTCAGTAAAGTCGATAAGGTCTCCCTCTGCTGACCTAGGATCCGCTATCGATTTCGGCCTTGTAGGCAGAGCGGGTCTACTCGCCGGATCATCAGCATGAGCATCGCCTGGCGACCGACTCAGCCGCCCCTCCCGAGAAATCATGGAGTCTGGAGGCGTATTGGATATCGCTTGGTCGAAGAAACCTTTCTGTACAGGTGTGGTCACATCTCGAATGAACACACCCAGTATTCGACCCGGGTGCTCAAGGACAACGTCAGTGTACACTTCCAGATCAGCCTCTCCACTGTCGCCGACAAGGATAAATTTCCTTTCAGGAAAGTCGTTCATGATCCTATCCAATGAGCCACGTTTCCTTTCGGCTGCGGGCTCGAATATCCCCTGCAGCATTCCGGAATACTGCTTGAGATGGAAGGAACCAGGAGGTAATCCGGCGAGAGAGAAATAACTCCTCAGTAAGGGATATAGTTGCCACGGCGAGTTGGAAACATAATGCAGCTTGACGCCCATGTTCGCCAATTTGGTATACCACTCCTTGACACCCTTAATGGTCAGGTCGGACAATTCGCGAATAAAGGTATTCTTGAAGATTTCCCTGGCGCCATTTCCAATGGCCGAGTGCTTGATGGTGTCGTCGATGTCACTGATCAGGCTTACACCGTCGTGGTCTGTGATGATGACGTCCTCGACCGCTGACAACTTCTCCGAAGCAAGAACCCTGACTTGGTCCGGAATAAAATCAAGGGCAGCTCGCAGATTGAAGTGGCCAGAATCGTCCGTCGTCACTGACTTGGAGGTGGACTTCTCCTTGTTGTAGAAGAAGACGGTGATCGGCACATGCGCCGTGGGCATAGACATGAACGGTCCCAGTCGAGTCAATAGTAGTTCATTTGCGGCTGCCAGCTGCTCTCGGCTCATGTTTGCAGGCTCGTTCCAGGATTGACGCTTAATCACAGATTGATGACCCGGATCGTCGTCGTCGGTATCTGCAGGTATAGCGACTGACCGGGTAGGCGAACTCGATCTACTACCGGCTGGAGTGCCGCCTCTGGAAACGCTCGAGCTGTAACTTCCTCTAACTGCGGCATCCGCCTCTCTTTGTCCGCGGCGAGCGATATTTTCGGCTTCTCGTGCGGCAAGCTCATCCTCACGACGGGAGGGACTGTCATCAGAACCTGCACGGTCGTTGGGCGCCAGACTCGACGATCTCGACGCCGCCGGACTGGGTGTAGGTGCATATATGCCGCTGAGTCTTCTGGCCACGGCTACCAGAAGGCGGTTTTTCCTGTTCAGGGGTCCTGATTGAGGGCAATAGATCCAGCCTCTCACGTTGACGTCGACGATAGCATTGGCGTCCTCGTACTTTTCCCATTCTCGCTTCCAGTAGTCGGCGTCTCCACTGCTGTGTGGCGTCTCTAGCGATTCATGTGTTCCAGGCTGATATCGAGCCTCCTCGTCAGGCCGAGTCTTCCTTCGCGTATGTTTTCTGGCATAGCTAGGGAACAAGAGCATTTCCTCATTCCCACTCCTCACGATCTCGGCATCCGGCCAGTCTCCCGGCACACCTCCATCGCCAACATTTTCCTGCAGTTTGTGCTGGATCTGTGCCTGGTATGTCTGTCTCAACTCGTTTGCCGCCCGCAGGTAGCCCTTCACCCTCTCCCTCCTTGCGCCAGGCAACCGTCCGCCGCCATAGCTTGTCATCTCTCCGGCTGAGGCGTTTGCGGTAGATCTCTTTGTTCCTCTGAGTAGGCGGCCACCACCATATTGTGACTGGCCATACAAGGCCCGCAGGACACGGCTCTTTGCCACCTCCCGGCGCAAGAATGAGGCAATGCGAGTGCGCCTGAGCTTTCGAGTAATTATGGAGACAATGTCTCTGCGTGCTTCTCTACGCTCTTGCTTGCGCTGTTGTCTGCGGAGGATGGCCCGATAGATGTCGGACTGGGCTCGCAGGCGCAGCTGTGGGATGGTCTCGTGACGGAAACCCAGGTAGCGTTCACGAGCACGGCGGTGGGTGTTTGGGAACAGGTAGCGGAGGAGGGAGAAGGTGTTGCGGGATCCCGATAATCCACGGAATGGAGGAGCCACGATGACAGAGGAACAGCGGGCGACGTGAATATTCGATTGTCGGGGGAGTATGAATACTGAACCAGCACAGGGTCTAAGAGTAACACAGAGAAATACGAGCGAGTGGACGCTGTTGGCAGCCTCAGTATGTGCGGTGCAATCGCTTTACCAAAGTGCGTCATCGTCACACAGCCGTCGACGTGCCTTGCGATTCGAGATCCGTCCATAAATCCAAGGCGAAGCTTCTCTTCATCTATTCATCCGAGATTGGACTCTCATACTCTGTCACATCTGTCACCTGTTTCTCAGTACTACTTTACAGACATCACACCCGACTCCGGCACGCGACATCTACTCCTGGACCTCAAGACCTCGCACCACACCGGGTAAAGCGCAGCATGGCTCTGCTGCATCGTCAGCAGCTTACATCCACTACATCGTACGGAGCACAGTCCTCGGTATCTCCAGGGCTGGTAGCGAACTCCGATGAGAATTTCACTCAGCGAAGCCTGGTCTCTGTTGGCTGTGACCGCAGAGGGGGAGAGATGTGAAAGGCTCTCGCGTGACTCATGTACGCCAGGACAGTACCCTACATCGGCTCGCAGGTTTCAAATGTGCTGAATGTGAAAACGACATGCCACTGTCTTCAGTCTTCGAGTCACAAGTCACGGGTCACTCGTTGATTGACCCAGTCTACCGAACGTACCAGGTAGCTTGAATGGAAGGCGACTTCACGGCTCCGATAATCCACTTCTACCTCCATCCGACAAAGTCTTCTCCAGCGTCGCCAGTAAACGCAAGGTTCAATATGTTCACGCTCCGCCCGGCGGTCTCACTGTGACAGCCACAAGTCAAACCACTGGACAATTGCCCTCAGGCTCTCTTCCTTCGCATAACCTATCAATCAGTTAGTACAAAACACCCCAGGAAGCTGGAGACTACATACGCTCATATGGGCTATCCAAGTTGCAGCGAAGCGCGAATCCGTGCTCGACGCCCGAAAATAGTTGCAGGTTGTAAGTCTTCTTTTCGTTGCGGAGGATGTCTATCGCCTCGTTGCGGGCTTCTGTCCCAAAGGTATGGTCGGTCTCAGCGCACGACAGGAACAAAGGCTCTGGACTTGCGCGTCAGTTGCTGAGCGAACGAATGTGCTTTCAAGCATCTTGCTTGCTACTCGGCACTCACTCTTCAGTTGGCGAAAATGGTGCTCTTTCAGAAATGCCGGGTGGGCGAAAGCGCCAGCGGCACAGATATCTCGGGCCAACTCGTTGCACACGTACGGCGCCCCGAAGCAGTATCTGCTGCCCAGTTAGCTCCGAGCTGGCATCAAGATGAACATGACGCGAACATACCCTACGCAAGCGTACTTGGTCGTCGGGCCGCCGAACTGAGCCTTCACGGCCTCGACCCATTTAGGGGTGACTTCGTCCGCGACGGCAGTGTGTTTCCTTTTCCAGGTCTCATAATCAAAACCCGGGGCCGGATCGTTTTTATCCTTGCGGTACTTCCACACCGGGTCCTACAGTATCTAGATATCAGTATCTTGAGCAACCATGACCACGACCATACAGAGACCGGAAGTGAGAGCGAGACGGACTCCTCGAAAGTAATCCAGCCCAATGGTTGTGTAGCCTGCATCGGCGAACGCGTCCATGACTAGGAACCCATTGTTGAAGAATCCCCACACGTCAGGGAAATAGAGGATGATATTGCCGTTGTTCTTCCCCTGCGGAGTCGAGATGTATGTCTCAACACCAGCGACCGTCTCAATCCGACCTCGAGGCTCTCCTTGGTGCAGCGAACCCTTCAGACAGCAGTCGGCCGACGGTTTTGCGAGATATCCCTCCTTGTCCGCCATGGCGTGGTAGAACGAGACAAAACGTAGCCGGACAGGCAACAGTCGCGTACTATCTGTGTGCGTGGTTCTATCCCTCGAGGTTCTGTGGTACTCGCAATATCTCACAGTGCTCACGTACGCTTTCCTCCTCAGCGAACACGATTGCACCATACATTGATCCTGCAGTGTACCGCGGCCGGCCAGCCACCGCGGCTAACCTACAAGCTCCTACGGTATTCACCCAGTGCCCCCAGCACCTCGTACGAGTCTAGACGACAATCCTTCTCCATACATCAAATTGGAGTCGCCATGGTCGTCTCGAGCGGGGAAAGAAGGCCACAATCGGCGTCACCCAGTCAGCTTGCACGTCGCAGTGTGCAGCATCCCTGAGCATCCGGCCACCCAGCAAGAATCCAACAGTGCGCACGGAGTAAGCCAACGGGCCGGGGCCACACAGTTACCCCCCAGTCGGTACTGGTACTCTACTGTGGCACGCACCGTGTACGGGTCCGCTTGCTCGGCACAGACACGGTAATCAGTCGGGCGCTATACCGTGTACACACTGTTGCAAAAGTACATTCCCAGCAAGTGACTGTCTCGGCCACGAACTAGTCCATGTTCTGTACAATACAGCACCAGAGTCACCACTTACAGCACGGGCATTTGAATGGTGGAATCCTCCTCCCCGCAAACGAATTCCACCGCCAACCGCGTGTACCGCCTGAACCGCGCGTATGGGTTGATTGCTAAGGTACTTTACCCTCGCATTACGCCCGCCGCAGACGCTGGTCTTGTGATGTGACATGACATGGCATTCCGTCTCGGTGATATTCAAACAGCTGGAATCTCGACTTTTAGATGTGAGGACCGTGTGGAACGATTATCGATTGTTCTACTGTAAAGGACTGCTCCAGTACTAACTCCTTACTCCTTTCTACCCTCTATACTTCTGAAGCAACTACCTAGTGCTCAGTCACGACCCGAGGAGACTCTTCATACAGTATACCTATCTCTCTATCAGTCCGTCCATCCACCTTTCGCGGAAAGCACGTGACTATTTAGTCCTCATATTTCTGGTCATCGATGGCTCCGTTCGACTTTACCGGCGAGGTGGCCATCGTTGCGGGCGCGGGCTCTCGCCTACCAGGTATGTTCCGCTGAGAGGCGTTGTCGTGCTTGACACTTTTCTCGAACAATAAATACCCAGTACACTATCCGTGCACACACATACACGCACACACAGGCGCGTACAAACATGTTTCATCCGCTAAACGGGCTGGGGTGCAGGCGAAATCGGCAACGGCCGCGCCACAGCGATCCTCCTCGCGCGACAAGGCGCCAAAGTCGCCCTGTTGGACATCAACGAGGACTGGGCCAACGAGACAAAACGCATGATCGACCTCGAAGGCGGCACCAGCGTCGTCATCCGCACGGACGTGACGGACTCGGAATCCTGCAGAGCCGCCGTGGCGACGACGGTGGCGCACTTTGACAACTCGCCCGTGCACATCCTGGTCAACGTCGTGGGCGTGGGCGGGGCCATGGGCGACGCCACGACGGTCGACCTGGCCGCCTGGGACCGCGACATGCGCATCAACGTCACGAGTGTGGTGCTCATGGCGCGGCACGTCATTCCCGAAATGCGTCGCATCGGGCGTGGCGGCGGCGGCGGCGGCGGCGTCATTGTCAACATGTCGTCCGTGTCCGGGTTGCTGGGCGGCAATCCGAGCCTGTTGTACCCGACGTCCAAGGGCGCGATTGTGCAGATGACGCGCGCCATGGCCGCGCAGCATGGCGAGGAGGGCATCCGTGTCAATTGCGTGTGTCCGGGAATGGTGTACACGCCGATGGTGCGCAGGGGCGGCGGCATGAGTGAGGAGATGAGACAGGCTAGGCGGAACCAGAATATGCTCAAGACCGAGGGCACCGCTTGGGATGTCGGGTATGGTGAGTGATTTTGATGTTCTCATTACTCTAAGTTGCGTTCTGCTCTCTTATCTTGATGTTCTCGTTACTCTACGTTGCGTTCTGCTCTCTTAATCTTGATGTTCTCTGACGATACGTTGCGTTCTCTTGCCCTCTACGTTCTGCTCCCTGTCACTACTGTCTGCTCTCCCATCCCGTCTGTGTAAGTGCGATGCTGATCTTGCAATCTCTCTTTCCAGCCGTGCTGTTCTTGTGCAGTAAGGAGGCGAAATGGATCACCGGGCTCATCATGCCTGTCGACGGCGGAACCACGGCAGGGAAGTCTGTGAGCGATCGGCCCGCGCTCAAGGCCGATGTCCTGGCCGAGGAGATGACGGGGATACCGAACAGTGCGTGACACACACAGCCGGATACATGGGTAAAATCCCTTGAGCTGTCTGGTGTAGAGATTCAAGGGCTGGCGCAGACTATGCTCGAACTCAGCGGCGAAATCCTTCTACATGGCGTTGAGCATAACGACCCGATGACGGTATGTTAGCTACATAGTAATTATGTACTATCCAACGCGTTCATTCCCCTTGGTCACCCTAGATTTTCGATTGACTCTCTCAGGCATACTTGCCCACGAACGCAATCAGCGCATTGTCCACCTCCTTTGGATGCGAGGCCGACAAAAAGTGCGCACCACCGTCAACGGTTATCAGTTCCGCGGACGGTGAGTTGACGAAAAGCTTGATTTCCTCCTTGGCGTTCGCAACGCTGTAGACGACATCGTCTGTGCCCTGTAGGTCCCTCACGTTAGCATCACCGCACGTCGACCATGCAGCTCCTCGGGCTACGCTTCGGGGAACGGGGGCATCTTACATGCAGCCACATGACGGGGCAGGTCACGTCAAACAGACGTCCATGCAAGCCATCTCTGTCTCGCAGGTTGATCGCCGCCATCCTGCCTCTCCGTCTGCCGTCATCGCCCTTGTAGTTTGACTGGATGGTCTTTCTCCAGAAATCGCGGGTCTCCTGAGGGCAGTTCTTCCCGAATCCGATATCGATCAGGAAGTCACAGTATGACAGATCCGGTTGGAAATCTGGTGTAGGCGTCTTTGACGTCCATGCATTGACGGGTCCGCTCACGTCGCGGACGCCATCCCAGCAGCCGAGATCACGAGTGCGCTGGGACTCATAGTCCAGGGACGTCCCCAGCGGAATTATGCCTACAATCTGAGATGGAAGACACGTCAGCACCGAACAGAGTAAAGAATCGACAAGGAGGGGAAGTACCTTCTCAGGAGCCAAAAGCGCCATTCGCACCGTGATCCAACCGCCTTGGCTGGTGCCGAGGACGAATGCCTTCTTGATGCCCAGCGCGTCCATGACTTGGATGTTCATGATGGCAGTGTCCCAGTAGGTGAAGTTCTCCGACTTGGTGCGCGTTTGGCCGTGGCCCAGCAGCTCGATGGCCACCAGGTTCATCTTGTCTGTCAGCTCCTTGTTGGCATACTGTTTCTGATAGAGCTCCGACGAGGTCGTGAAGCTGTTGACCAGGATCAATGTTGGCTTCGAGGGGTCATAAGGATGAGGCGACTGGTACGCAGCATCGATGCCGCCCAGGTGGGGAACGTGGACTGTCTTGGTATTAGGCATGTCGACGGTATGATCGCGTCAAGCAGAAAAGTATCCGACAGAATGCTCAATCAACTCGAGTAGCTCTGGCCGCCTTACAGGGAGATTCCGAGATGCTCAAGACCCGGCAGACTGGTACCTCGAGATCGAGCCATCTTTATGTACGCATCCATCTGACGCGGGGTCTCAGCTTCTCCATCTCATTCTCCAATGTGGAACAGATTCGTCGTCTTCGAAGACGCGTCTTCTACCACCGGATGACCGCGAGTCCCCCGCATCTGCGATGATAGTGAGCCGAGCGCTCTTTAGGTCATTGCGGATCCGCTTCGGATGTCACAACCTTCTTCTCCGGTGAGCCAGTCGCGGACGATCCTGCGGAAGGGCATGGTGAGGATGACGCAGCAGATTTGCTCAAGAGTCGTTGTGTGAAGAGGGGGTACTTCGGGAATACAAGTTCAATCCGGGACTTGCCCGGCCAGTGGCCGAGAAGCTAGAGTCTCGATGTTTGCCCAGACCTTCGATCTGCCGGTATCAGCTTAGCTCTGACTGTTGACGAAGTCGCAAGAAGCAGCTCTTCTGCGCGAAAGTTGGAGAATGAAAGCGGGAGGTCTTGGAAGACGATAGGAACCATGTACCAGATATCTCTCTTTGTTTCATGCAAGGAACTCAACGCGGATGGAGTTCGGCGTCTTGTGATTGGAAGCGTGCTCGCCTTTCGCTCGCCTCGCTTGTTATTCTCTCTTGGCACTCGAGTCGAGAGGCATGATGAGGGTGCGACGTCGCTGTTCTTCAGAACGCTGCAGCCGTAGGACCGAGGGTTTATCAGATCAAGATGAACACGTTATGATGAGCTGGGGAGAGAACATCGAAGACGACTCTCAACAGAGCAATGGATGACGGGTACAATATGGGGAGGTTGTCCTCAGGTATGAAAACTGACTGACTGCTCAGCGCATTGTTCATCGAGACTTCACCTCTTGGCAGGGCGATGGAGTGAAGTGCTCCGTCGCCAACAGGACTCGTTGTCAACCAGGACAGCTTCACAAAAACAAAAACATAACCTCTACCACAATCTCTACTCGAACAGTAGAATTGCGGTATTGTTTGTTTGTTTGTTGATTGGGCTATATCCGGTGGTGGCAAGCCGACCGGTCTACTCCCAACTCGCGGATATCCCGCCGATTTGACTTGTCAAGTATGCAACCATTATGTTATTTCTATGCCTGATTCCACCTCTGGCTTCTGTTTTCGTTTGCGAAGGAGGAGGGGGCGGGATCGAGGAGGATCAGATTGTCGAGGAACGGCGGGAATTGAACGGAGGAGTTGTTGCACAATTCGTCTCTGGCTCGCCTTCTAGCCCGGTGCTAGTTTGACCTGAGCCCGAGAGGACATTGTGTCAGAAATTGAGAATCAATAAAATATCAGGTACAAGAAAAACGACAAGGTTGATTGGCTGGGTAGTGAAGTGAAGTGAAGGTCACATTGTTGCCCAAACCACATCTTCACCATCAGGCTGCCACGGAACGATGGCTCGCAGGTGCGCAACTTTTCCGCAGGATGAAGGTCAACGAGCGAGCCACGATATGCAGACGACGAGAGATAATGCGAGGAATCTCGGGAGAAAGTGGATTTGCATGCATTATGTTCATTGCTATCCTGTGCTGTTTGCCGTGGTCTTCATTTACATTTGTTGTCCTGTTCAACCTTGCCATCATTCCCCTCTTCCTTCGCCCATGCACAAATTAGTCGTATGTTCAATCGTATGCCGAGTTCATCGTAGTAAAACAACAAGTGCCATTGGCATCATCCAAGGCATCAGATCCAGTATGTCCGAATTCGAAAATGCAAAGTAATAGTATCTAACGTGATGGGTATCCGATCGCGATAATAAAAGTGTCGTTGTACCTGCTTGGTACCTGTCCAACTTGTCAATGAAAAGTGAATAATCTGCCCTCCGTACGGAGGACGCTTCTCAACAGATATCTCAGAAGATGACCAAGCCAGCACATGCTGCCACCAGGATCATGCCAGCAGATGATCCAAGCTTGCTTGCCGCTCCAGTGAAGCCCGATGCAATTGGAGCAGCTGGGGTGGACATGGTGGCGCTTGGACGTGCCGAGGAGCTGGGCCCTACAACTTGCCAAGTCCTGCTGCTGGCGGTGCTGTAGTGAAGAGTCTTGGAGTGGCTGGAAGGAGCAACTGGTGTAGACGGGGAAGTTGTCATTGTGCTGGTCCAATCCGCCCATCCAGACGAGGAAGTCGTGCTTGGAGAAATGCTGCTGGGAGTCCAGTCTAGCCAACTGCTTTCAGGAGTTGGAGTCGCAGATGATGTCCAATCAAGCCAACTGGTCTCTTCAGGAGTAGGAGTCGCAGATGATGTCCAATCAAGCCAACTG